CAGTACTGGGATGAGCAGACAGTAAACACTGGGTGCAGTGTATAAGCCACAGAGCAATAATTACCAGAAATTACTTCTTGTTCCGCCAAAGAAGCCACCGTGAACTCTTCGGTTCCTTGCCTCCCCTTCTTTATGGGTCAGCTTCAGTATACAGCAACAAGGAGTATGGTTGCAATCTCACTATGAGTTCTGTTGGCCTCAAGTGAGAGGGTGCTACTTCCCTCAAGTGGACAGGATGCCTGTGGCAACTGTGGAATTAACTCTCTCTTCTCTTGTACATTTGATATGTACACATGTGTGTCATAATTGTACATAGAGGCTTGTACAACTGCTCTAGGGTGTTGTTGTTATTACATATGTATGTAGGCTAATGTGTGCGAGTGGGCCTGGCTCTCTATGATAACATTCCTAGCCCTTCCTTAACCCGGTTGTGTTCTCTCCACCTCTTGAGCAAACTGTGTCACCCCCTGTGACCGACCTTGCTCATGTGAGCAATGTGCGTCAGTCAGATATAATTATACTTGTTGGATTATGGTTGTGTAGCTATGCGGATATTCAAGGAATGTGACTGTATCAATTAACAGGTGAAAGTGCCACAATTGTTTCAATCAGTCTGTGTCAGTATGTATGTGTAGGAGAGGTTTTAGGATCGCAAGAGGAAGAGAGAGAGTTTTGTACTTGTATCTCTCGTTTGACACACTTCTTTTACTTTCCCTCTGTGAGCAAAGAGTAAACTACTTTCACTGTTTTTGATTGGGACTGTGCGTTTTTTTTCACTAGCCTCCCCCCATCACACACACTCACCACACTATCACCGGCATGACAATCTAGGCAAGCCGTCAGTCACCTTCCGAATGCAGCCAGAGAGGAAATGCGGAGACCCTGGCTCTCTAGTATATACATGTGTAGGTGGAATCCTTAGCACATGGGATGCATGCCTCAGTATGAAAACGCTAGTGGCTTGCTATCAGGGCCTATATTATCATGCTTAGTTTTATACACTGATGTTTGGTACAGAGAGCACTGTTGATACTAGAGGCAGTGTTTTGTCCATCGTTTGCTCTCTCACTGTCTCCTAGCCAAACCCTGGCTCTAGGGCCAAGTTCCCAGATTCTCAGTAGCCACTTCTTTCGGTAACCCTTCTTTTTGAGTGCCAATTTTCATCAACACATACAAACACTTTATTCTCCTGTCATCTCCATCCAATCATCCAATTACGTCGTCATTTCTTCCTCTTTGTCATATGCTACAGTTGTGATGATATGTATTAGTGAGACCAGGTATACCCTACAAGGCTGCACTATAGCTTAGCTCATGACACCAACACACACATACAGAGCCCGGTGAAATGTACATACTTAGAGTTTCCAGCGTGTGATAGGTATCTGTACTGTACCTTCAACATATACCTCAGCTGAGTGAGTGTGTGTATCTGTTATGGTTGTGATTCCGTGTTGTAAGGGCTTTTGTTGGCTCTGCCACCGTGACTGGATGCCGCAGTACTTAGTGTATTGACTACACAGAATTGATGTTCCGACAATCTGTCGAAAAGTCTGTCAGTATTCTGTTCTGATGTGTATAGAATACTGTGGGATGGCCATTTGGCAGATGGGACCAAGCAAAAGGGCCCAGTACATAAGTTATGCATTTGATTTAGGCATTATACTGCCACATTCCCTGTAAGTGCAGAGTGTTAATGTATCTTCTTATTTCCAGGTCTGTCTTAGGCTGTATGTCCTCCCACATCTCCAGTGCTGAACATGTCTAGCAGTAGGTCTGCGTCGAGTGCAAGTTCACGATCTGAACCGTCTCGCCCAAATTCCACCTCACCTCGAGTCCCGAGGAAAGTTGGAGGGAGCAGTGGAGTAGGACCTCGGAGTAAACCTGGAGTTACTCCAAACGGAACCCCGAAAACCGGGGAGGAAAGAAATTACCAAGGAGCTCTGCCAGTAGTGGGCAGCTGGAGACAACCAAGAACACAACAAGTCCAGGTACCACAAGGAAGTCGTCAAGTGCGAGAGATGGAGGGACTAGCAGTAGCCAGGGGTCACCAGTTCGGTCGGCTGCTGGAGAAGCAACGAGGCTGAAGAAATCTCGGAGCCCCAGTCGCAGTCCGACGGGGGAAGAGGGGACGAGGAAGACCTCCGTAGTTGAGAAGAAATCGAGTCCTCTGGCACAGAGGAAAGTGATGAGTGGGGCTCCGGGGCCAAAGAGAACCAGCTCTGGTGGGGAATTGAAAAGTCCTACTGGCAGTTCAACAGGAGGTGGGGCGAGGGGAGGGAGCAACCTACCGAGACCCGGTGGAACTGACAAAACTGGAGTCAAGAAATCCAGTCCAAACTCAACACACCGACAGGTGACATCGGGAAAGCCTCCCAGTGGAGCTCACACTACCACCAATGGAAATAGGTCAGGTTTGAGACAGCAACCCTCAGGGACTACTGGTCGAAGAACTCCCACCAAAGAGAGGGCAGGGCTCAGTAATTGCAGAGAAAAGGCAGGCGGACTCAGTAATGGGTCCCCGAATGTAGCTACCGAGAAAGGAGGGGCAGCAGAAAGCCAAGGAGAGAGGGCGAGAAAATGTAGCGGTGGTTCGACCGCAGGGAAAAGGACGGTGGTGAGCAGTGTTAAGAAATCGGGAGGGACTGGTGGAAGAGCTAGTCCAGCAAGGGACAGGAAGACTAGTGTGGAGAAGAAACCGGTGGTCAAGAGTGCCGACAGCAGTCCAGCGACACTCAGGAGGGCCGGCTCTGTGAGGAGGCCGGGAGGAACCAGTAGCAGTAGTCCAGGAGTTGTTAGGAGATCCAGCACTCTGAGGAGGACTGGGAGCAGTGGCAGCATCCCTGTGAGCCAGAGACCTGCTAGAGAGAAGAAAGCCGACAGCGAGAGCCCAAAAATCGAGCGGAGAGTCGGCAACGACAAGAAAACGGAGAGTGTGAGCCTCAAAACGACGGGGGCAAAGGGAGAGGTGAAACTGGGTGTGAAGACAGGGAAGACAGCCAGTCCGGGTGCTCGTGCTACAGAGTCAGGGAGGAGAGGGACAGGCGAGAGGGCGGGAGGAGGACCGAGTCGAGCTGGGAAACAGGTACCTGGTGCGACTGGGATTAACCCAGCCGGGAGACGCTCGATGCGATCACGCTCTGAAATCAACATTGGCGGTGGGCCGAGGAAGAACGATACTCAGAGCCTCGGGAGAAAGATTTCTGCCACTTCTGCGATTGGTCGCGGGTCTCCCTCGCCGAGCACCCTGGCAGGGAAGGCAATCATTCTGGACCACACTGGGCTGCAGGACGAGGACAGACTGCGATCAACGCTCAAGCTGTTTGGCGCCAAAAGTGGTGCACCAGGTGCAAAGAAAACGAACAGGGGCCAGGTCATCAAGAGTATGGGTATGGCCACTACCAGCAGTGGTAGATCAACTCCCACTTGGAAGAATCCACACTCTGCCAGTGGTGTGAAATTAGGCATGATAAGAACAGGCTCCGGAAGCAGAACAGGCTCGAAGCAGAACTGGCTCTGTACCGACAAAAACTGGTCCCAAATCCAACACCAACTCTAGACCACGGCTTCGATCTTCGGAAGATGTTCTGAAAGGTGGTCGACGTTCGCCGGCTGGCACAGCAGGGAAAGTTAGAGTCACCAGTCCTCTATCTACGACCACTGTTGCTCCAAGACCTGAGAAGGAATCCCAGGACCCAGAAGAGAAGGCAACTGAGGCTCTGGAGAAAACAGAGGAAAAAGGTTCAGAGAAAACGGAGGCAGAAAATCCTGAACAGAGTGCAGAGGATTCGGCCAAATTGGAAGAGGCTTCAGATGAAACAAAAGTCGCAGAAATTGCAGTAGAGGAGAGTGAAGCCAAAATAGCAGTGAAGACAGAAATTCTGGAAAAGTCAGTTGAGACTGAGGCCCAGCCCACCAAGATCGGTGGAGAGCTGAAAATGTCTCCCGGTCTCAGAGGGTTCAAAGTATCCCGACCGTCCTGCAGAGACTCACAAGTAAAGTCAAAGATTGCCAACTGGAAGAAAATAGAGGAGGAGGCAAGGGTTTCAGGCTCTCCCTCTCCCATCCCACCCTCCCCAAGATCCCCCTCGTCCACCTTCTCACAAGTCTCATCTCCCACGTCTCACGCGACCTCTGACCCCCACACTGCTCCGATGTCTCCACCAGCTTCTCCGAGAGCTACTCTGACTCCTCGCCGTTCCTCTGAGCCTCACTCCAGTAGTCGCAGTAGACAACGCAGTCAGAGCCCGTCTCCCAACTTACCAGTCAAGTCCAGGATCGCCATGTGGGCAGAGAAAGAGAGAGAGGCTAAAGAAATCCGATCGTCTCTTTCCCCGCAACGATCTCCGACTCACTCCCCGACTATTTCTCCACAGAGCTCTCCAAAATCGACGCCGAGAGGTCTGAAAAGACAGAGCCCCGTGGACAAGACCCGCAGGAGTCCAGGGAGAAGTGCCGGGAACAGTCGTGAGGGGAGTGTGGAGAGTAATGCACAGAGCCTTGCCAACAGTACGGAGAGCAGTTTGGATGCAAGTCCGTCGCGTCAGCTACCCTCCATCACCATCAAAGAGGAGAATGTGACAAACTCATCTGTCAAGGATGCCCCAACTGGTGATGAGTATGAGGATGTGGAAGTTAGTCCAAAACGTCGCCTGTTACCAGAGATCCCAGTCCAGGAGACTGCTAGTGTAGCTCATAGTGCTCTGGCTGAGGAGGCTCTTTACTCCACCATTCCCGACGTCTTCCACGAGGACACACCCCCTCGGAGGAACCTCGTTAACGATGTAATGAAGACGAGGTTGGCTGACGGAGAAATGAAAGTGATTGATATCGAAGACGAAAATGAAGGCGTGGGAGTGATTGGTACAGAGTACACCAGACCTGCTCCAGCTTACACTGAAATAGACGTTCTGGAGGATCCGAGAGTGGCTGATGTGGTGTCTCAGAGTGTGGGTCCTGAAATGACTCCCAAGAGCAAGCGACGCTGGCTTCGCTCCCCACGGTTCGGCCGCCGGAAAGGAAGTACAGATGACGCACACTCGGAGGGAGCGGCCAGTGACAAGGAAGAGAAGAAAAGCGAGAAAGAGGAGAAAAAGAGCGAAAGTTTCATGAAGAAAATCATTCGCATCAAGTCTCGATCTGGCAAAGATAAACCAGCAGTCAACAAGAGAAGATCAGCTGAAGCCACTGAGAGTGACAACAGCAGTTCTCCTGAACACACTCTCACGGAGTCGAGAATTCGATCCTCGAGTGAGCTCGCCTCAGACCAGTTGGCCCCGGAGGTCATCCCAAGGTCAAATTCCTACTCCACATCCGCCAGTCCTGAAGTGGGGTACTCCCTCACCTCACACCAGAACCTCTCCTCTTCCTCCTCACAAAGAGTGGTGTCCTCTAATCCGACACTGTCCGGGGAGTATGGGACGGCCACGGAGAAGAACTTAGATCCAGTGACGCAGCGAGTTGTGTCCAACCCTACACTCCAGACTGGCGCCTCTGGTGAACCGTCTTCAGGTGTGACAGGGAACTCAGATGAACTCCTGGCTAGGCCAAATGATGTACAGCAGCGAAGGTCACAGGTACAAGCTAATCATGGTGCTCTGTCTCACGAACTTCGAAATCTGATTGACAACTTTGGGGAGGGGGGATTCTGCGACGAATACTCCAAGAAAGTGGTCTCACTCCAGGGGAAGAACGTGGTTGAGAAAGGCACAGGGAGTGCACCAGGCGGGCTTCGTCTGCCAGTGAGGTTCGAACTGACAGACTCCCCCAACCACGGGTCCAGTCACCCTAACTTGGTGTCGGTAGGGTTCTCACTGCCAGATGAGTCAGGTGGCCCCACGGTAGCTAATGGAGTAGGAGTGAGGGGTGGGCAGGAGAGTAAGGAAGGTTCTGACAGTAGCACAGCCAGTGAGGGAGAGGAGCAGGGGACTTGGGAGAAGGAAGAGGAGGAGGACACCATTGAGTCCAGTCTTGACACTGGCAGAGCCACCAGGTATATAAAAGCCTCTTAAATACTGATAGTGATGCTTTCACGGGTGAAGGCAAATTGAAAGAGAATTTTCTTCAGACTATTGCGGATTGTTTGATTGCTGACCTAAATTGCTAAGCCCTTTGGACGTGTTTCCCACTATACTGTGTTTGTGTAGTATCAAGTTGAGCAGTGTACTGATGTTTTGGGTCTACATTGATGTAGATATGACATCAAGAGAAAACTGAGTGAGAGCTCCGATAAAGTACAGGCTGTTGATCAGGTAACTCTATGACTGTATTATATCAGGTATGATGTATTGGTGTTTGTTGAGCAGTAGATTGTTGACAACTACGCATGTCCTGATTTGAGGTATTCTAAATATGAATGGACCTCCGGTATAGTGTCTGTGTGCTGATGATTACGAGGGAGAAATGTTGTTCTTGTTGCTGGCGAGGAAAACATGGCAGTTGACACAGCCCCTTGCTTTCTGTTCAAACATACACATCCCCCTCAATACTGCACTCCCTCCCCGTGTAACCTTATATAATCTATTGACACGCAACAAGAGCTTATCTTTCTGGTTCGGTGTGTGTAAAGCTAGCCCTTAATTTCCTCCCATCATACAGTTATAGTAGCTGCCTATTCAGTCAGTACCACTCATCATGATAAGTTATGCTACAGTTTATAGCTAAGGCAGTCTTGAAGGTGAATGGGGTAGTCTTAGAGGATACTAGTGTGGCTGAAGCCCAATAGTTATTCAATGTACTCGGGATCATCTGCTGGTGAAGACAGTAGTGAAGGCTAGGTATGGCCCAGTACTGCAGTGACTCTGACACAGACAGCTATGATGGAGAGGAATACTCTGCTGTTGATGATGAGGTCCACTCTCTTGTCTATTTCGGTCATCCCTTGTTAGCTGGGGGAGGGACAGAGGAAGAAGAGGGCGAGATATATGAAATGGTGGGAGAAGATGACTACCAGTTCTATGCCAAGGTATGTCAGTTGAGGTGGTGGGATCAGGGAAAATAAGGGGCTTACACAGCAAATGGAATCTGAAAATGTTGGTGGACATGAGGTTGAAAAGAACGCAAGGTTTAGAGTAAAGCTGCAGAGAGTGAAAATTCTTGGTCTTTCCTCCTTGTCGACGCCGCGCGTGTGCAGTTGTGCGCATGCGCAAAAACTCGCGCAGCATCTGTGTCGCGCGACGGCCGCCGGACTCGCGTGCGTTCGCCGGTTGCATTCTGCTAGCGCTGTTCTTCTGCAAGACAGAGAATAGCAACGAGCGTAAAACACATGCGGAGCTGACAGATAAATTGCTTGGTGAGTTGCAGAAATAAATATGCGTCTTTGGCTTCAGATCGGTGATGCGCAGTTCAGCGCGTGTGCTGCACAGCGAAGTGATGCGCACAGCATTTGTGACTAGAGCGTATAGGGATGAAGCTGTAGCCGGGGTGTAAAGTGTAGCTTTCTTCTTTTCGCTTGTTGGCTGTGGGCGTGTTGTTTCACTGTGTTGAGCAGTGCCTCTGAACCCCATATTATGTCATAACTCAGGGGAGACCAGTGTATAGAATTGTATGCCTGGACTTTACTTTTGGAGTGTGAGGTGATTTGGCAGAGGAAATCGTCAACACATGTTACGGTATTCTAGTGGAGTCTGTGTTTATCCTCTCTGGCTGCCAACTGCTGGGGAAAGTTCTCTGGACCTCCAGTACAGTGGGGAGGTGTGTGGCTGTAAGATTAGCCTGGGCCCACCTGTTCTGCCGTAGTCTTGCCAACACCTCACACAGCTCTATACTTACCATGCACTGCAGAGTATGTTGTCTGTACTTACCACATGTAACTGTACACTAGAGACATGTGACGAGTCATCCAGACAGATAATTTGTAACAGAGGTGGAGTCCCATTAGTGACTTCACCGTCTTCTTGTGTAGCACTACTAATTGTGCTCTCTGCTGTGTGTGATGAGTTGTGTGAGTCCATGTGTAATGGATGATGGGTAGTGATGGAAGACAAGCTGGTCTCCGTTTCCCCTCCCCCTCCCCCTCCCTCCTGCATGTTGCGTGGGCCTAAGGTTTAGTGTTGCAACTGCCAATCTACTGAGCTTGCCCTTGTAGCCAGCCCCAGCCGGTAATAAAGAGTCTAGAGCTGATCTGGTCAGCAATGTTGAGCCGCAAATCGTTGTAACACTGCAGCAAGGATCCCACCAGTCTAGCTAGAACTCAGCTGCGTGCATGAATCATAAGTGGCATGTGAGAACGCACAGTGTGGGTGGGATTAGAAACGATGAGAAACTCCGTTGTCTCAGTGAGCCCACCTCGTGTATTACAAAACTGGTAGCAGTATAGAGCATGTGTGTGAGCTGATAATGCCTTTGTTGATGAGAGAGTTGAACTATTGTTTGCTGTGACTGTGAGTGGTTGGTGTGACTAGGTCCAGGGAGATAGAATGTCCTTTCTCACATCTGGTGTTATGTCACCATCGTCGCCTTGACAACCACTGCATGAACGATTCCGGAAAAGTAAAGCGAGAGGAGAGAGGGAGATGGACAGGGGTGAGAGGGAAGGCACAGTGTGTGTGGTGTGGAATTCTGTCCCAGCAACTGGTCCAGAATATTTTAAGTGGTTCAAGTGTTGTGGGTATGTTTGCTGCAGCTGGCTCCATATTGTTAGAGGAACATCTCAGGCAGTACTCCAGGTCAGTAATTAACTAGACTAGGAAGCCTCCAAGTCAGTAGTACATAGGCCAGGAAGGCTAGTGAGGCTCCAAGTCAGTAATGAGGTAAAGAGCAGGGTGCGTGAGTAGCTGGCAGTGAGTCTGGATACCTCCTCAGTTCTCACCCTTCCCCTGTGGGTGTGGACTGAGGAACTAGTTACTTAGCTCTTCATGTGGCATTCAGCAGAGCACTGAGCTGTCAGATCGAATGTTTTATTTCTCTCCTTCCTCTTTCTCCCTCCCCTCCCTTCCTTTCTCCTCTTCTTCCCTCCCCTCCCTCTTCTCCTTACAGAACCCAGACAACCTGGTGGTCACGTCACTGATGTATGCAGACGCGGTGTGGGACAGAGTGGGGACGGAGAGTGACGAGCTCAGTTTTAATGTTGGCGACGTCGTCGAGATTCTGGACATGTCTGACGACACCTGGTGGCAGGGGAATGTCCAGGAGAAATCTGGCTGGTTCCCCTCCTCCTTCGTCAGGGTGAGTCCCTAGTAATATAATCCAGAGATCCTGAACTAATAGGTAATCAAAGAGGGTTTGGGAGTCAAATTTATTCTTAGCACATTTCGGCTGTTTCGTCTTCATTGGGTGAACCGAAAATATGAAGGTGTTCAGAGTGGTTGGTTTTTAGTGGGTCGTTCATTTTACAGAGCTTTCTTCTGTCCACAGTACTACTTTGCACTTCAATTGGTGTGTTTATTGAAAGTGTAGTAGCTGTTCTTTGATCTCAACATACCACAAACACACATTTCCTTCCTTCCCTTATGAACCTGGTATGTCCTATATACTTCTTCTGAAGCTAGAGCTGTGCCTGCACATGGGTACATGTGACTTCCTCCCCCCTGTCGCTAACCTCTCCTCCACCGTTTACTGGCTTACAAATCTCCCTGCATTCTACAGGACCTCTCACACAGGAAGTCAATAGATCCGTACACAAATTCCTCCGCTAATTATCCCATTTTTCTCTCCGTTGGACCCTCCACCCTTTACCATATACCACCCTAGCTCTTCCTCATTCTCATGTACCTTACATCTCGCTTCCTGTCCAGCTACATGTATTGATACTATGGTCTTTGAGTTCAGTAAAGCTTGGCAGCTCTCTACATTCCTCACTTCCACTATATAGCTGGCTGCACTGCAGACATTCTGCCAGTTTTGCCAGCAGTCAAGTATATTCACTGTCACTAGTAGTGTATAATATAGTCAGTGTGTGTGGAGTTGTGCAGTCAGCCAGTGCTGTGTCTCTGGTCAAATCTCCAGTGGAAACAAATACTCCAGTCGCCCCTGCCTTCCCTTCACCAAGACAACTAGACCAAACAGCAACTGAGTTGAAAACTTGCTAGCTAAGTAGCAGCCTCCAAGCTCCATATATCACAGTCTATAGTGGTCTCTAGCTATAGTGAGATATGCTGAGAAGATTGAAATCCCGTCTGACAGTTGCCACAAAAGCCCTCCGACCTTTGTCCCTCTATTCTGTTCGTTCTTCGACTAATTCTGACTCTACTGATAGAGACAGTGTCCACAGCGACCCCAGCCACATACTGTCCACCTCCAATGACGAGGATGATATATATTCACCAGTGGAGTTTGGGGCAGCTCCGTACGAAGTGGCCCTTGCCAGTCGAGGTCCTCAGACCACTTATGATGCAGTAGAATATTGCAGTAGATATGACATATACGGGGAGTATGGCTTTGACAGTCTTTATGAACCTGTCACCTATATCACTGAGGTACGTAATTCACCCTCTGCGCGCATGGTTCGTGAGTGTGTGTGTGTGTGTGTCTGTCCGTTCGTCTGTTACCACGTTTTCTGCGACTACGCGCAACGATACAACGAAATAGCGACACGGACAGGTTCATCGCGATTTTCATAAGTTATGGCCTGAAAGGTAAGTGAACAAGCCAATTGCAAATTAGCACAGGCTTACCTCGACCGCGTCCGCTGGCTCTGTGTGTCTTGAAGGCACAAGAAGTCACAACGAAGGGCGTGTATCGACTCTCGCATGATATCTACTACTGTAGCTAGCCCGTGTCAGACTCTCCGCGAGCTACTAGCGGGATACCACGAGCAAACGCATAAAAAATAGCCAAGCCCATCAATTAGCAGTATCGCGCATGGGCAGTTCGCCGAGGGTTAGCACTGCACTAGTGCTTTTCATTTACCATTCAAGTAATGGTGGTGGTCTGATGGATAAGCAACCCCTCTCTTGATCGTGAGGTCCCTGGTTCGAATCCCGGGTGTGTACGCCTTTTTTACAATGATGTAATGGGAGTGATGGTATATATGGAACGTTTTTTCATTACCTCTCCAGGCCAGCCCGAGTGGCTAGGTGGTTAGAGTCGTGGGGACTGACACCATAGGTGCGGGGTTCGTATCCTCGATCCCGCACTAAAATGTCAGATGGTCCAGAGCATTGGCTGGGAACAGCTCTGGTACCTCCCCTTACCCACAAATCTACCACTGACCCATGTTTCTCAAAGGGCAGCGTACAGTTCGGCATAGCACTGCGTCCGTAGACGTCTGTCTGGAGAGATGAAGGGCTGGCCGGTTTTTTTTTCAACCTTGGGTTGTTTTTAAATTTTTTTTTCACTAAACAATCCATGGGTAATACGAAAATTAATAGAGAGATGAAAGGTTGCCAATTTTTCAACCTTATATATTTTTTGGCCTCAAACAGATATAGGGCTGCCCATTTTTTTCAACCTATTGATAATAATCCATGGAAATGGTGCATAACATGCTGTTCTTTGTGGTGGTGCCACACTTGTGTATGGGTTCCACATTTCTACCAAGGGTTTGCACTTTAGTGCTTTTCATGTAACTAGGTTTAGGCTAATCGTTTTTGTGTACACATGGAGAAAGCGGCAGGCCAACCAGCCATCCTGAATACCTTAACTATAGCTGGAGAGTGCAGCGCATATATTAGTGAAGTTTGAATATCTGTCTTTCCCTCCCTCTCTCCCGGCAGTTGCGAGTAGCTCAGGATGAAGAAGACGAGGTGTACTCAGTACCACCAGATGCGGTGCAGATGGTGGGGGCCACTCTACCTCGGATATCCACCATGCCTGCTGGAGACCCGGCCTACGCCACCTACTCCAGATCCTCTCACTCCAACAGAAGAATGACCATCAGGTTCGTATCCATGTCACTAGGTACATGTACCAGTGTTTTGGATGTCTTCAAATCATAATGCCAAATTGCTTCGTTTTGACCGAAATATTTGTTTGATGGAAAAAAATGTTTCTCCCTTCTCAGGAGAAAGGATTCCTGTCCCTCGTTGCCACGGAAACTGACCCCCACAGAGGTGAGGTCGAAGGTCGTGGAGGAGATCATAAACACGGAGAGAGACTACGTCAAACACCTGGAGGACATTATTGAGGTGGGCAGGGGTTAAAAAAATCAGTGTCTCAGGGGTTAAACTAATCTCTGGTGACCTTCAGGGATTCCTGAAGAAGTGTAGACTGAACAGTAAGTTATTTGACCGGGAGAGCGTGGAGACGATATTCTCCAACCTGGAGAGTCTGTATGAGTTCCAGCTTGACTTCCTGCACCAACTGGAGGCCAGGGTCAGCCCCCATCACATGGAGGACAGCCAGATTGGAGAGGTCTTCGTCGCATGTGTAAGTTTATGCCCCCACCGTTCTAATGCTTGCTTCGTCTTTTCTTTCTCATGACATCTTTGTCAAGCATGCTATATGATTGTTTTACCTCTGTTTTGGTAAAACGAAGAGATGGCTCTGATGCATGTTTCAAGTTTATAAAAAAGCAACACATGTTCAACCGGCATTGGACTTACAACTGTGCCATATTAAAGTATACAACACCATCACATGATACTCTCTCTCCCTCCCTCACTGGCAGAGACGTGGGTTTGAGGTGTACTCTGAATACTGCAACAACCATCCACATGCAGTCAACGAGATGTGTGTCCTGCAAAAGAAGGAGCAATACGCCTTTTTCTTTGAGGTAATGTGCAGCGAGATGAAAGACATTTCCATTCCATTCTGCAACTTTAGTCAAAGCATGAAGGATATTTCAATCGTCTCTGTTTCCGCTCATGTGCCTACAAAAAATGCGAAATCGTTGACACCATCATTTGGTGGGACAACAGATTTGGGCGAAATAGGGATAGGTGCAGCGAGATAGAAGTTGGAGTTGATTGTGTGTTCCATCTGATCTTGTCTGTAGAGCTGTCGACTGTTGAGAAATCTACAGAACATCCCACTGGAGGGGTTCCTACTCCTCCCAGTACAGAAGATCTGCAAATATCCTCTCCAGCTATCAGTGAGTGGCATACGCTAGCTAGACAGTCTGGAGTATTGTTGGTGATGGGGGAAATTCATGTTATGCTGAGAATACAGCTCTATACTACTTCATAGCTTCGAGTTATAAGACTAAAGCTCCTCAGTAAAGAGTTAATAGTAGTGCTGCTAATCCTTCTCCCTCTATTGTAGGAGTTGCTCAAGTACACGAGTGAGGACCATCCAGACAGAGCAGGAGTGGAGGCGGCTGTGGAGGCCATGAGACTGGTGGCCACGCACATCAACGAGGGAAAGAGACGACTGGAGAACATCGGGAGGATAGGGAAATGGCAGGAGGGAATCGATGGCTGGAAGGTAGGCGAGAGAGAGGATCGTATGACTGATCTTTAACTCTAACCTCCTGCCCCGCGTGTAGGGTCCAGATATAGTGGAAACCAGCACAGAGATGATCCACAGCAGCGAGCTGCACAAAATCTCCAAAGGCCACTCTCAGGAGAGGCACTTCTTTCTCTTTGACAACCAACTCATCTACTGCAAGAAGGTCAGCACAGCTACTCTTTTTCATTACTGTCTCTTCATCTCTCCCTCCCTCTCTCTCTTGGTGTATGTTTCTCTCTCCCCATCATGTGTGTGTATACAGGAGGCAATAGGAGGCAGGTTGAGTTACAAAGGGAGGTTATCTATGGACAAGTGTCAAATCATTGACCTACCTGACGGCCAAGGTAACTCTCTCTCCTTCCAACATCAATAAGATCTCACTACCAGTTTGTACAGAACCAAGTGTCCTTTATAGAGAGGTGTCTCTTTTTGGAGCACCCTTTGTCATAGATTTCACTACACTATACTGCAAACCCTTCCCCTCTGCAGAGACCCACAATGGTCTCCCGGTGAGACATGCCTGGAAGATGGACAACAAGACAAAAGGGAAGGATTACATCATCTTCTCCAAGTCTCCAGAGGTCAAAAGCAAGTGGATGGACGCCTTTCGTCGAGAGAAAGAGAGAGTTGCGCAAGACAAGGCCTCAGGTATTGCAGACTCTGGTTCAGGAGTTCACCAAGGTTCACATGCTCCATCTGTGTGTGCAGGGTTCAGCGTGTCTCTGAAGATGAAGAGAGCTGCAGCTGCCCTCTGTTCGTCCACCACCGCAGCCGTCAGCGCCGCCAAGAGGAGGAAGAGTTTCAACAAGAAACAAGTCCTCAGAGTCACTGGTAAGTATTGCCTTTGGTGTTGCATATTCTTCTATGTCTTGGCTTTGGTAATGGTCATGAGAGTGCAGTTTGGCTCGTAGATTACGTCACGTTTTGAGTCAAACTGGAGTGGCACAATACGTGAAGTATTTTATACCTAAGTCTCTGTTTTCTTTCTCTCTCAGCATTATCAGAGAGTGTTGACTCAGGCATAAGAACTAAGATCGAAGCTTCACCAGCACGCGAGAGAAAAGGAAAATTCTCCATATTTTTTTAACCTTTTCTTGTGTCACTGATGTTTGTCCAATATTTATGTTCACATCTCCTCCTGTTTTGCAACTCTTTCGAAATGTGTCTCTCTTCCTCTCTTGCATCATCATATTTTTATCATTATTGCCATGTTCCCTTCTTGTAACGGTATATATAGTGTTTTGACATTATAAACATGGTGAACTGCCGGAAGAACAATTAATGACTATGACTTCATGTTCTACTGGTACGATTGTTCTTGATCTGTTTCCATCTTCGAACCACTTTGGTCTGGCCTGTTCTGATGGCTTCCCCTAACCCCCACTGGTACAGACTGTGTGTAGTAGAGAGAGAGATTTAACCCTTTCCTGCCAGAGCTGTGTGGCCACACCCACCAGGCAAAGAGGACTCCTCCCAGGTGACCGGCATGATCCAGTATCTGCCACCCTCTCACTAGCCCCCATACGTCTAGTGACACCACTCCCATCAACACCTGTCGTATATAGTACACTTTGTGAACTCTATTGCAAGAAGAAGAGGTTACTAACGATGGGGGCAGGGAGGGGGATGAAGGGGAAGAAGATGAGGTAGAACATGGCATCTGGGTTGTTGAGAACCACGAGTGTTATGACCGAGAGCAGAGCCCCTGACTAACGAGGAGAAAATGAGGAGAGAATACGGAATGTGTGCGATAACTCACAGCTCCCAGAGAGCCAACAGTGACACCTCTCATTTTCCTGACGGCCAGTCCCACTGCCGAGGCAAAGGCAGCACTGGTGAGGTAGAATGGCCAGGAATTGTGTGCGGTGAGTCTGTCTCCCAGAATGTTGAGTAGAACAGGAGCAAAACTCCAGAGGACCATCATGTTGAGTCCGAGGTGCCACCATTCCATGTGGCTGAATGAGGAGAGGAGGAGAGGGAGAGAAGTACCTGAGGAGTGGGGGAAGGGACAGAGAAATGGAAGCGAGAAGATACTAAGTGTTGCTATTCCACCATCCAACTGTGGTCAAATTAGAGATGTTTGTGGTTTGTCAGAGAAGAGACATAGTTGTGGTGGTTGATAGTTGGTTCAAAGGCAGAGGTGACTTTAAAATTGTAGGAGGAATTTGGTTGGCATGGACATACTAAGAGCAACAACATAAGGTCCTCACGTTGAGTGATTGAAGAAATGAAGAACTTGTCCATGAACTGTGAGAGGCGACGGACTCTCCACATTGCAAACACCACTCCATTCAGAGCAACGATAGCTGCACAGGTGTAGTAGATGTGTTTTCGCTCCAACTTATTAATACTTACTGAGAGAGAATCTGCTGGCTGCACTCAGACCCAGCCACCACCTCTTCACCTCAGAGAGACAGACACCAGTAGATCATACATGTGTATCCAGTGTATGAGAGCCGTATCCAGTGGTCTAAGATTGAGGCTCACCTCAGCTGCCAGACCCTTCTCCTTGCGGTAGGCCCAGTACCGCCTCATCCACCGCTTCCTGTTCTCCTCTCCCCTCACTGCACTAACTCCATACGAAGTACCCCCCACCTATTATACCAGTAGGTGAAACTGTTGATTGCTATTTTTAGCCTAGACTGAGACAATCAGGTGATTTATTACCACTGCAGTGAAGGCAACTGCTCGCCATAGTCTCACTCCTCTTACTCCAGCCGACCCAGAGTCGCTGGAGTATAGTCTCTTACGCCAGTGGGACGCCAGAAACTCGTTGGGGTGTAGTTTCTTACGCCAAAGAGACGCTAGAGCCGTACAACGGAGCCGAGTACTCATGGTCCGTGGCCTCTTCTTACCCAGCAACCCTACCTATTGGCTGCACGGTGTTGCCTCGTTCTTAGCTCATGCTCAACAGCACTTTTGTTCTCGATTGTGGGAAGCTGATTCTAATTAGTGCCTCTCCCTAAAGAGTATTCTCCGCCCACTTCACGTGTGCGCATGCGTGTCACCCCACACGAGGAAAGTATTATAAGCGACATCGGCTGGAAAGATGGCTTGCTTTGTGAAGACCCTGACGCGGGAGTCTATCAAGGACATAGAGATCGGCAACCCGTTCCTACGAATGAAGCTCTTCTCTTTCACTGGAGTGGAGAGCAAGCCGCTAACACTGGACGACGTCCCTCAATCCTTCAGACCCTACCCCGGCTGCATATTCGTGAGTACTATACAACTGAGCTAGCTAACTCTCATAGCGAGAACTCTACTCCCTGGCTTTTCACACAGGACGTGCTCAGCGAGCCTGACAAGGACAAGAGGAAAGAAGGGTTGGTGGATTTCTTTGCCAACCTGTGCGGTGAAAAGTGTCCGACTCGTCAGTTCTCTCTGTTCTATGCCATCATGCACCTTTGGAAGGCGGTATTCGCGGTATCCACAACCCACCCTCCGCAGAGGCCCACCCTGCGTACCTTTCACTGGCTGGCAGGAACAGGCATGTTCCAGAGCCTGGTGAGGATCCTCCGCCTGTGTCTGGACCAGGAGTTCCTTGCCGTCGAGTACAATCGCTACGTTCCCTACCGTATCCTGGAGACCATCTTTGCAGCCATGCAGGCAGAGATGGTGCACGGAGATGACATCATCAAGCATGTCGTTGAAGACCTCAGCATCGCCGTGCCGACGTTTGTGGGGTTAATGGAGGGGCAGGTGTCGTTTTCGGAGCAAATCATGGCTCAGATGGTCATCGGGAATTTCTCCTGCTACCCACAGGGGATGATCCTACTCGTTAACGCTCCTCACCTGGCGGGGCTGACAGGCAAGTTTCTCTGGATTGCGTACGACCTGTGCTGGGTCCACTACGCTCAGTTCGACGAGAGAAAGATGTACATGCATCGCCACCTCCTCAACACCGACATCGAACTAGACCCGGGGAAAGTCTATCTCCCCGGACCCAAGCGCAACCCCGATCTCTGTGCGTACTCTGCACTCTGCTGCATGTGCAACATATGTGCCGGTTACCCTGACGAGTGCAGCATGGAGCAAGTAGACGACTGTCTCATCTCGCTCGTGAGCCACGGATACTTCCGGAACCTGGGTACCATCGCCACGGGGATACACCTGGCTCGACCGAAATACTCTGAGCTCACCATCGACAAATTCCTGTCCCTAACCAGTTGGGCCGGTTTCAACCCCGTGAACCAGAGGGTCATCCTCGATCAGATCAACTCCCTCCCTGCCATCCGGAAAGAGGACCCGCTCATGTTCTTCCCGACCTCCAAGTGCCGCGGTCGCAGCGCAATCGCGTTCCTCATCACCCACGCTCTCTGGCTGGACTTTGACCAGGGGAGTCATTTTTCGATACTGGGGCTCATGTACGTACTGAAGAAGATCCCGGAGGTGGGGAAGGCAGTGGTGGACGCCATAGGACCAGAGCTGGTGGACCTGGCTCACTCCATACACCACGTCAAGATGCCAGACGACGGAGACCCAGTGCCTATCAAGAGGGGCATATTTGAGCCCATGCTCCGTCTGGCTGGCATATCTTTCTACACTGAGCAGGGGGAAATGATTCGGAACTATGACCGTGAGTGGGGTGCACTTCATGTGCATTTGACCCTAGGAGTAAATAGATGTTCGTTTTGTTGAGGGCCTCTACTATCGTGCTTATTCCGCTACATTCTCTCTCTCTCCAACTCAGCTATGTACAAGGAAGGTCACTGGCCTGAGTGTGTGGTGGAGATAAGGGAATACTGTCTCCGGCACATCAGAGAAATCAAACTCTCCAAAGAAGACAGAGAAAAGAGAGCTCTGTGAGCCTCTAAAAGCATAGCCACAATTTACGTACAAAGTCTTGATGCTCTCTGTTGTTGTTTACTGGCAGACTGGCTGATGCTCTGAAGGTGGAAGGAAACGCTCTCTATGAGAAAGGAGAGCTCCACTCTGCCATTGAGGCATACACACGGGCCCTCGACACATGTCCTCTCAAGTGCACAGAGAAAAGACTCACCTACCGCAGGTCAGTGAACCTTCAATCCTGGTCAAAGAGAAATCCTCCCTCTCCTCCCTCCTCTACATGTGTTGGTTCCAGTAATCGATCAGAGTGCTACCTGCAGACCAACCAGCCCAGGAAAGCCATCAAGGATTGTAACAGAGCGTTGGCTATGAACCCATGCAACATGAAGGTACTCAGTTTGTTACTGATGAGGTTTTAGGTTTAACCCTATGGTGACTGCAGGTTCGCTGGAGAAGAGCGCAGGCATTTCAGAGGATAAACTACAACTACCCAGCGGCCCTTGACCTCCTGTGAGACAGACATTATGTATAGTATAGTTGCTTATAGCAAACCTTTTTCTTTTGCTATTGAGTAATGTTTTGCAAATTACTATATTATATATGCCATCTGATTGGCAGGACCATACAGGGGAAGGAGGAAGACGCTCTGAAGGTGATCGGCAAAACGGCCTTCTCCGGGTTGGAGCAAGTCATATTTGGTCTCATGGGCCACCAGAACTTCAAGAACGCAGCCACTCGCAAGTACAGCAACCTGGTACACAATGACACCGTTCAGAAGATATCGGCTCTGAAGACGTACGAACTGGAGAAGACGATAGTGCCTCCGTTTCGAGCCAAGACGTATAAGGAGCTGATCGGTCGAAGTCCCGGAGGCTACGAACTGGACTACGACTCTGAGAACGAGGGAGAGAGACCGAACCCCTCCAGAAAGTGGGCAATGAGCGGAGGGAAAGAGGACGAGGATGAGATTGATCGAGAGGTGAGGGAAAAGATGGCGGACATGAACATACGGTGGCTGGAGCGAGAGGACAAGTACGTGAAGCCGGCAGAGAAGCTGGGAATGGAGCGAGATATCCTGGAAGAGAGGAGGATTCTGCTCCTCACGGCTGAGAGGAAGAGGCTGGGGAAACTGACCGGGCCTCCAAAACTCAGCTCCAGCAAGAAACACAGACGATCAAAGGCTTAGCTTTTGTGCATACAGCGCTAGTTTCGAAAAACTCACTTTTTATTGTGTGCTGTGCTGTGATCAATAAAATGATGTTGATGTTTCAAGATGTATGCTCAACTATGAAGCAAAATTGGATAGTCTGCTGCAGAACTGCGGATCCGTCATCAACAACAGCATGAGACATAAGATCTGATTATACTCAACATACAAAAACACATTTTCTTGTGAAAGTTTCAGGCTTCAGCTAGAGGTAGTCAACAGCCTTTCTCTCCAGATCAATGTTCTGTTCTTTATCCACGATACACACCTGACAGACAGCATTACATAACCACTGGTAACAGGAGTGGAGGTGTGGCAGGTGACCCACCTTCTCCCTCAGAGCTCCCTCCAGTTCCTTGAAGTCCACTCCCGAGGTGTCTCCCTTGTCACTCTTCCACTCTTCCTTTATGCAACTGCAGAGCAATGACAGAGCAATGACAGAGCAACTGCAGAGCAATGACAGAGCAAAACACTGTCAGCTACACACTGGCTTCTAGTACAATATTATATTTTCTGTTTATAAATTGTTTTCAGTCTTGCGTTCCCATGCATCGGAACACACAGCTGACATCGTTCCCATGCATCGGAACACACAGCTGACATCGTTCCCATGCATCGGAACACACAGCTGACATCAAGCACAGTATACATTGAAAAAACCAGGTATATTCTAAACCATACACTATAGAATGTACTGCAGCTCACTACATGTCCAGCCATGCAGGGTAGTCAATATTCAACCTCTGGTAGGCCCGAGATCTCCTCCACTGGACCTTGACGTTCATGCTGTGGTCCAGGCACAGGGCTCTGTTGCAGTCGTGGAGAGCTCGCTGCGGATCATTCACCCTCAGGAAACACTCTGCACGATTACTGAATGGAGAGAGATACAGGGAGGGAGAGTGGAACCCTCTCTACAGGCACACCTGAAATGAGGACACTTCTCTGCTAAGGACACCCCCAAACATAGTTAATGCACACAATTTCACCCCCACAATAAGGCACCTCACTATCTCTGACAGTCATTGGATGTAGCACTACCTACCTGTAGTAGATGGCTTGTTTGGTGCGAGCCGAGAGTGGGCAAACAGCTAGGGCCTCGGTGTACAGGTCTATGGCTTCTTTGAATTTTCCCTTCTTGAAAAGAGTGTTGCCTTGTTCTTTCATTTCATCCGCCACTCTGCGGGGAGGAGAGAGAGAGGGAGGAGGTAAGGGAGGAAGAGATGCAGTAGGAGAAGAGGCCTCACTTGATGCGGTGCTGTTTCTCAGCCACAGGGAGGAGGTCTTCCAGGTTGGCCCTGCGGCAGAAGATAGCAGCCTCAACACAAAACTCTGGGATCTTCTTCACCGGTTTCATCTCACCTACAGACAGACAGACAGAGAGAATAAGGGAAGCATAGAAAGTTAAAGAGAAGGACACACGGAGTTTCACGACTCACTGGTAAAGCTGTCAGCCTTCCCCCAGAGCTTGTGGGAGAAGCCGGCATATCTCAGGAGGGCTTCCAGAATGATGCTCTGAGTGGAGAGTTCCATTGGCTCCTTCAGCTCGTGGAGATGGGCCAGGTCCATTAGCTCATACCCACACGCCTTCAGACACACACACACAGATAGTGGATAATACAAAAGTAAAGGTGTGCACTATTTAGAGTGAGTTGGGCTCACCTCGATAATGGGACGACTGACGTTGTCAGGGCAGTTTTCAAGGACATAGGCAATGATTGCTGTGGCCCAGTTGGATCCGATGAGGTACTTGGCGGAGAGGGCGTGGCAGAGGAGAAAGGTCGCGTGACTCGTGTGGAACACCTGGTGGTTGAAGTGCTTGAGTGAATCCCATCCGGCCGAGATCTTGTGTTTCCGGAAAAACTCGAAATCGTCGAGGAAGAGGAGTTTGGAGGTTCTCTCCATTTCGAGGCAGCGGTAGATTCCCTGCAGAAATCCGCTCATGAACCTCCCCGGGGTCAGCCAGCGCATCGCGTTTCGTGCAGCTTGGTTGAAATTTTGGAGGAGCTCTGATTCGTACACGGCTCTGCGAAGTATGCGGAAATCGTCGAAGTTGTTTCCAAAGTGGTGTGTCATGTTGCTGAAAGCCAACACCGACATGACGGCTGCGTAGGTCGCCATGACCCTGGTGGTCTTGATGTAGCTCTCTTTCTTCCCGCCCGGCTGGCACACCGCCTTCAAGTAATCATCCGCGTTGGCCAACTTTTCTTTCTGAACGTGTCGCTCCACGATCTGCCCAGCCTGGTGGGAGTAGCGGAGTAGCGAGGTAAGAGCTTTGGGGTGTCGGAGTAACCACAGACACGCTGCGGGGTGGGTGGAGGCAAACCCGAAGAGCCGAACGGCGGCAAAAACCTCGTACCACGGTCGCGTATTCATCACTCGAACAATCTCCTGTGGACAGCCGGGCATATCGCGAAAGAACTTCTCCAGGAGTATGGTATAGGCCGAGCACTGCGGGTGCATGAAGCAGCAGATTATTTCGGTGACAGCAAAACCAATTGGTTGACTTCTGTAGCTGGGCATCTTGGAGAACTCCCCATCGTTGGTACGACGAATGAGAGCCACGAGGAGGTCGGGGGTCTCGGCGGTGACGAGAGTGACTGGTGCAAGGTCAACCAGCTGCGTCTTAAGACCGTTGTAGAGAGCGTGCATCATTAGGTAGCGCCGGATACGAAGCATCTCGTCCCACGTTCGCTCGGGGCTGTCCAGGTAGGTGCTGGTGTAGGTCCTCATGATGATGTGAATCATGGGAATACGCGTGGACTTGCGTCCGTGGATTGGCTCCTGTACCAACGAGGGAGATGAATTCTGTAAGGATTAAACAGGACACCTTTTCTTTCCCCTGGAACAGTTATTGCATGCATTATCCCATAAAATAAGGACACATCACTAACATGGACCATCCTCTGCGCCATTGGTGTCGATATTAGAGGGGTTCCATCGTAGTACAACACACACACCCACCGTCATCTCCGGAGGCAGAAGTTTGGCCACCAACTCGGGGGTGAGATCATTCTTGACTTTCTTCTCGGGGGTGCGGGCGAGGTGCGCCTCCTCCTTCTGAATGCACTCGGCCAGGAACTTTATATCTCTGACTGGGTCTATGGCGTTCCAGTCTTCTCGCTTGTACGAAATGCTCGCCATCGCCGCCGGGTGCACACGAGGTCAAACGCGTTACGCATGCGCACACACGGAAGGTGCAACACATCACTTGATCACATCAAAAATATATATCCATAGCTTACATAATATACAGAATCCAATTGAAAACATTGGCACACACACACACGGAAAACAAGAAAGACAATTTAGTCTGTTAATAATTTAGTTCATCCTAACAGAGGGACGTCCTCAGACACGAGATGTCTCCAGAAGTTGGCGCAGGGGGTGTGGCAGGTCTGTCCCTGGTGGAAGAGGAGAGGGAGGTCGTAGTCCTCTGGTGTGGAGTCCAGGGAGAGAGAGGAGGGGATGGAGATGCGTTTACTCATGAGGCAGAGTGAGCAGTGGGAGATGGTGTCTGAGAGCACGTCGGGTTCTGTGGCAGGCAGCGAGGGGCAGGTTGACTTGTAGACCTCCTCCTGTGGGGGAGAGACAAGAGAGAGAGGTGTACAGCCCTGAGACAAAAGCTGGTAGCTATTCCACCCATTCCCCCCAAGCAGCGGTACTAATAGGACAAGGAGTGTTGTTTCCAACTGACCATGGTGTTGTCTGGGAGCAGAGAGTTTAGTTCACTCCAACTCGTCCTCAGCGCCACCCCCGCAGAACCAGCTGCCAACGAGAAAGAGAGAGAGAGACACGTGACAACGATACACACAACTATAATGGATGAGTATGTACTGTATATATATACCTGTTTCTGGGTATTTGGTCGAAAGAGTTGCAAATATTCTCTTGGAAAATCTATACACTTCGGCAATACCTGAGAGTTTCGAACACTATTACAGATGTTGCACATTAAGATTATGAACAAGAGAGGGGGAAAGAATATGGATTGAAACACGGAGAAAAGACCAAAGCTTGGAGGAAAAGCAGATTTGGTCATACCATGAAGTGTGCTGTGAGCCTCCTTGGCCTGAGCAATCTCCTGCAGCAGTTCTTTCTCCTCCACTTCTCCCAACACCCCCACACAAGTGGCAAGGACCTCTGTTGCCTTGGCCAGACACTGCCTCCATGCCTCTTCCTCTCCCATCGCCTTCTCAACCTGCCGAGGGGAAGAAACAACGGTCGTACACACGTGGTGGGAAACCTTTGAGGAGAATGTATTGCAGTTTACCTTTGTCTTTGGAGGCTTTTCTTCATTTTCGTCTTTCTTTTTCTCCGTTATTTCAGTTGCAGCGGGAGACTTTCGTGGCAGTGTTGGAGTCAGTTTGGACAGGAGATCTTTCTCCATGCCATCAATGGTCGGTACACTCGCCTGAGGACCGCTCGACGTAAATTCAAACATTCGCGATTTCGACGAAGACGGTTTTGCCACTTTATGTGGAAGGGGGCTTTCTCGGATTTGATTATTGGGCAGCTCCTGTTCGTTATGTGGTAGCCGAACTCCATCATTTGTCGGCTGGGGGGTAGATAAGGGGGCAGCGGAAAACCCACCAAAATCAGCCCATCCTTCCATCTCTGAGGATAACAGAGCATTCTTCTCATCTGTTTGTTGCTGGGGGAGGTGTTGAGGAGGGAGAGGAGAGGGAGATGGGACAGTGGTTGAGGGGAAAAGAAGAGGGGTGGTAGTGGGTGGGGCCGAGAACTGAGCAAAGTCACCAAAATCGTCTTCAGCTGGCGGCTGTCTGTCTTGGGGACCAGTTTGGTTTGCTTTTGGTAAGTGAGAGGAGGGGGGTGGGGGGCCACTCAGTGGCACATCAGGAGCAGGAGAAGGAGAGAGTTTAGCTGCAGTCAGAATTGGGGGGAGCGTGGGAAGTGCTGACGAGGGGCCGAATTTAGGGGTTCCAGATCCCACGGGGACCAATTCAGAGGGACCAGAGGAAGGTTGTAGGAGAGGAGTTTGCTGGGCAGGAGGTGGGACATTCTCTGGAGGCCCTGAATGAAGAGAGGAGGAGGGGGAGAGAGGGGGAGGGACGGAAGAGGTAGGAGAGAGAGCGGAGAGTCCTGGGAGAGTTGGGACTGGTATGGAGGGTGCCTTCCTCAGATCCTCCACAGATGGGTCCTTGACACCAGCCTGCATATGGCAGACACACATACAAATCACACTCTCATTACTTGCAAGTAGGTAACATCTGTAAACGTGACATCGACATAAAAAGGCAAGTCAACTACACCTAGGACAGCTCTACGTAACTTACAAATGTGTACTTACGTGACACGCAGTAAAATTAGACTAGAGAGACAGAGTCTCACCTGAGCGAGGCCCACTAGTCCCAGTAGAACAAACAGCTCCATCTGACTCAGCTGACCTGGCTTACCCCTGTTGGCCCTGCCCCACAGATCCCTCAGTTGGGTCCGCGCCAGCTGGCTCGACAGCAGGACCGGGTACAGCAGCTCGGTGCTGACCAGCTCCTCCCCTGCTCTGCAGCACAACCGATACACTTTGTGGTACAGAGGGTGGAACGAAGACGTGTCCACACTTGGAGGACTGGAATTTCCAATGTGAGGGGTTCCGATATTCGACCCCTGTTGTTGGGGGGCAATAATCCCAGGGGTCGAGGTCGTAGCGGGAGTGTTGAAGGACTGAGTCAAGTGGCTCTGTGCAGAATAAGATGAGTAGGGAAACTGGGAGGAGTTTGTACACTGTTTCTGTGGACTCCCCGGAGGCTTGCTCCCCTGTGTCCCCTGCTGGACATTCGTTGACGAGAGAGGCTCATGGTACGCAGTGGTCGAGATCATGTGACTCCCACCCTGGATCACATGACCTCCAGGCTGCATCCCGTGATTTCCAGGTTGCAGTATTTGACCTGCCGCCTGCATCATTTGATGTCCGGCCTGAGTCATGTGATTTCCAGTCTGCATCATGTGATTTCCAGGCTGCATCATGTGATTTCCAGGCTGCATCATGTGATTTCCAGTCTGCATCATGTGATTCCCAGGCTGCATCATGTGACTTCCAGGCTGAACGTGATTGGCGACTTGAGGCTGCTGACTAGCTGCAGTAAATGCCTGGAAATCCCCTGACTGCAGACCAGACGACTGAAAATCTCCAAAGTTATCATTCTCGCGTGTCTCCAGAGGTACCTGGGTCTGGGGCAGGGCAAAGAGTCCGGTGAAATCATTGCTGGTCCAGGTCAGAGCCTTGGAAGACTGTTTCTGTTGGGTCCCTTCCTTCTTCTGTGATGACTGTGGTGATGGATTTGCCTGGGGTGGAGTGGTCCCAGGAGTGCTGGAGGGAGGAGGAGTGGGTCTGAAGTGAAGCTGTTTCTCGAAGAGATTGTCGAGATTGATGCTCTGAATCCCAGAGGACGGCTTGGCGACACTCAGACTCTGCAGTTTCTTCTTCTGCTGTTCCATCTCCTTCTTCTTCTTCTCCTCCCTTACCCTGCGCTCATGCTCCTAACACACACACACACACACACACACACACACACACAGGTAGACGAAACATTGGACAATTTCACACCAACTAAGCTCAACAAAACCTTTGAGAATTTTAATTGCATGCAGCAAGTACATGAAGGTATTTTTAGTGCTTCCAACAATGAAAATCACAACAGTAACAATATGCTCAAGAAGAAAATATACCTGAGCATATGCCTGCTGTGTCAGAAACTGTGTCTGAGGCTGGGGAACCGGGGGACCATGGGGAACTGGGGGGCCCTGGCTCCGATCTTGAGGTGCTGGGACAAACTGATGTTGACCAGTGAACTGTCCACCACCCAGAAATGGTTGCTGTGGTTGGTCAACAGACTGAAACTGCTGCTGGTTGCCATAGAAGCCTGTTTGTTGGGGGTGTGGTTGCCCCGCCCACTGAGCTCCCTGTACCCATGCCTACAGAGGGACCATGGTAACAGTCTCCATAGTTGCTCTGATATCTGGTTGTGTTCTACATACCTGGTTCTGCTGGTGTCCCCAGGACTGTTGCAGTGAAGGCTGTGGCTGGCCGTACTGCCCGCCGCCCTGCTGCCTCGGATACCTAGACACACACACACACACACACACCGTAGAACAGCGCGACATCTGCATGCAACCACTCACCAGTTTTGACTCATTGTCCCTTAGTCTAAATCACGGCTAGTTCCTCAGACAGACTACCTCGGTTCATCATGGATCATGGACAATGGAGAGCCTACGAACATCAGTTTCCGTAGGCTGGAGGGCTCCAATTGGAACAAACTTGTTTTTCTTTTTAACGCCCACCACCCCCGTGGCTAGCGGAGCTGTGTGTGCTGAAGCCATGGCTCATATGGGGCTGAACTCGTACTTGCAGCAGGTGTGAGTGTTCGTTCCGTCGACAGTCACTCACATCTTCTCGTCTCTGACTGCAGGTAGAGCGGTGTATAGAAGATGCAGACGGCGAGACTTTAGCTGTAAGTTGCAACCTCGGATTTCCCCCCTCCAACTGTGATAGCTAGTGATCATCTGATTCAGGAGCTGGTGTCATTCCGACATCCTCACGTCCACAGTTCCAAACTACAGGTACATAGTACTGTGTGTCAGAGAGTATTAGCTGGACTGCTGAATGTGTAGAGTCCTGACTTTGAGTCCCAGTGCCAGGCGTACCTGGAGTCGCCCTACGACGAGATGGTGGCCGCGCACATCAGATGTGCAGGTGCCGTGAGAGGAGGAGACTTTGTGGACTCCTTTGCCTGCCAGACTGTCGTGGTCCAGTATCCTCCTCTTCTATTGCTCCTTCTGCAAACTATTGTTGTTTGTTTCCTTGACTGGTGTGTGTGTGTGTGTTCAGATCTTTCCTGAGGGCGTTTCAGACTCAGAAAGAAGAGAACTGGTACACTTGGTCCAGTCAGTGTGTGATGCACCCTCCCTCCCTCCCTCTCTCTGCAGGGCTCTCCCAGTTCTCAAAGTGGTAACATTGGACCTGCGTCTATTTGCAATTCAGGTACACATCACTCTCAAAACTACTCTCCTTTCCTTGCTCTCTCTCTCCTCCCTCTCTCTCTCCTGGTAGGCAGAAGCTGGGAAGGCCAGCAGAGGCCACTCAAAGCCGGGAGAACTACTGGAGAAAGCTGCAGACCACATAATGTCTTGTTTCAGAGTGTGTGTCAGTGACATGTGAGCAACCTACCCCTCCTCCTCCTTCCATACCCTCTCCTTACTACCATTCTCTTATTGCTGGTGGACAGGCGAACATCAGAGGAACTGACAAAAAGATGGGCCACATTAGCACTTGTGAACCAACTCTTCAAAATCTATTTCAAGGTAATGATATTCTTCAGTGTTGCAGTACAGTAGACATGTGTTGCTCTGTCAGATCAACAAGTTGCCTCTCTGCAAGCCTCTCATTCGAGCCATCGACAGCTCCTCTCTGAAAGATCGTTTCAGTCTCGCCCAAACTGTCACCTACAAGTTCTTTGTCGGGAGGAAAGCCATGTTTGATAGCGAGTTCAGAACAGGTTTGTGTCACCATGGCTACTGAGTGTATATACATATCAGTGTTCTTCTCCTCCAGCTGCCAACTACCTGCAGTTTGCCTTTGACAACTGCTACCCTACCTCCAACAACAACAAATGGTAAACACTTGCAGTTCTAAGGCCCAATTTATCAGACAAAATTAGTGGAGTTATATGTTTGCATGACTCCTATCTGCTCAGGTTGATTCTTGTCTACCTAATTCCAGTCAAGATGCTACTGGTAAAACCCCTCAATTATCTGTACTCATATTACTTGATGTTGTGGGGTAAATCCCCTCAATTATCTGTAATAATAATTATTACTTGATGTTGCTCAGGGTCATATGCCCAGTGCACGTCTTCTAACTGAGTACAGACTACCCCAGTTCATAGATGTCGCCAAGGCCGTCAGGTATATATTCCCCCAGCCCCTGTCATTATCTGATTGTATTATCCACTGTAGTCAAGGCAACATGAGACTACTATCAGCAACCCTGCAGAAAAATGAGGTATTTTAAGTGGTAAAATTGTCACCTTACACCTTGGAATCCCAAATTTCAGGTCTTCTTTATTCACTTCCGAATTTACCTCATTCTGGAGAAACTGAAGATCATTGCATATCGCAATCTCTTCAAGAAAGTGTAGGTCCAACAATTTATTTACATCCTTCACTACTTCCCATCACACACACACACACACACTCCCAGCTCGCTCCTACAGAAGACCCATCTCATACTGCTAGCCTCGTTTGAAACAGCTCTGAAGTTCTCAGGAGACGAGGACACTGACATCGACGAAGTCCAGTGCATCATCGCCAATCTCATTGACAAAGTGAGTCCCTCCCCGTGAATTAAGAATTTAACCCCTTTGTTGCTGACGTACAGGCTTACATCAGAGGCTACATGTCGTACCAACACCAGAAGTTGGTAGTCAGCAAGCAAAATGCCTTCCCTGCGCTCTCGTCTGTCATGAAACAATGATCCACTGATACCCACTCTCAACTCTACCGTCATTTCTATTGCACATTTGACATGAATTTGCACAGTTTATTTGCTCTCTGTGAGAATTTGCTGCGGCCTGCGGCTTGCACAAAGTCTGTTTCAAAACTGAACAACACAACAATAACTAATTAATGATTCAAGTGATAGTCCACACACTCTGGACCTGGGAAGGAGGTGATTATAATCAACAGGGATAATTGGGGTCACATGTTTCAGCCTGTAATTCAAGAATTACTAGACGTGGTTAAAAATGTTGGTGCCAGACTAACAGATGGTGCGTCTGGGCTAATATTCCATTGCATTGACGACATCATCAACTTTCCTCTCCTCCTCCTCCTCTCTCTGCCTCCTCAACTCCCTCGTGTCTGTCCAGAGAAAAGCCTCGTCTTTCAACAGCTGGGCCAGCATGCGGTTGTGCTCAGAGTAAAACCCCTCCAATATCTCCCTTGTCTTGGGCCTCAGTTGCAGGGCCTTCATATGAGCCACTGGACTGTAGTTAGTCTGAGCATTCAGAATGTCCTCCAGCTCCTCGCGAGTCTGCGAGGGGAGGTCAAGGAATTGCCACACTCTCGTCAGGAGTCCATATCCGTCGTTTGCGAGATCCTCCGTTCTGAGGAAGAGAAACTGATTTCGCGGAATTGTCTTCAACCACTGGGCCACGTGAACATGGTAGAGACTAATCCCCAGTCGCACACGTCCACACACATTGTCGGTGATGGACTCTTTCCCGTAGAGAGCTCTGTGGGTGCACACCTCTAGTCTGTGGGCCTTCATACACTGACGGAACTCTCTTATCTCCAGCTCAGCCGTCTGGTGGAACAGTTTCGGACCATTCCGAAGGTAATCGTCGGGGATCGACTTCAGTTTCTGAGCCTCCCAGCGCTTCTCACAGAGGTAGGTGAAGTCAGAGTAGAGCCTATCCACGGGGTCTCTCATTATGACTATATACTTGCCACTGGGGACTATACTGTGGAGGAGAGAGGGAATGGTGCACAAGTTCTTGGTCTCTCGTGAGTCCCAGATGGTGGACTGGCTGGCGTCGATAGCTAGAGCGTGAGGAGAGGAACTGGCAATCTGGTGAGAGGCGTCCTGGAAATGCATGAGGTAGCGGACGATGGAGAGGATGTTGTGAGGGAATTTGGCGTTGAAGGGTACTCTAGTCCACCAGTGAGGCTCCTTGTTGATGCCAGTCACAATGTCGGGATTCCTCTTCATCATCTGGTAGAGCTGGGAGCTCCCACTCTTGGGAAACCCAATGAAGAAGACTCCTGGAATACAGACCAGGGACTTGGGGACTTTAGCCTTCTTGTCCTTCTTGTCTTTCACCATGAAGAGCTGACTCATGGCGTAGGATGCTTCGCTGTCGGTGAGTGTGCCACTCTTGTACCACAGCAGTTTCTTGACCTTCTGGGGGATGTAGATGTGCATGTACCAACAGGGGTTGCGAAAGTTGGAGTCAAACTCCGACGGAGGCGGAATGACGGTACGGAGTGTGTTTACGAAACCCGCCACGTCTCTCGCGGAGTAAATGGAGTTGTTTACTCCGAAATCCTCCGACTCCACCAGACAGCGGTTGCTGGGGTCTCGGCTGTTGTTACCACGGTAACCGAGTAGTGTTGACGAATGAGTAACAATGTCGTAATCTGAAATGAACCAATATCTTCCTATAATACCACTGTAGGATGTGTGTATACAGGTTGTGTGGTGAGGTTACAGAAGCCCACTGACCAAAGGTCCACTGAAAGGTTTCCCATTTGTGGCCAGAGACTAATAAGATTGGGTAGTAAATAAAATGTCTGGTATATATAGTTACCAGCCAGTCATATAGTTAGCAATTACCATTTATCGTAATTCTCAGACTAACTTTTACCACAATAAGTAAAACATTATTGGGGGAGATGGGACAGTATATACTGTAAAAAATAACCCACATGTATAGCTGCAGCCGGTCAATAATGCTAAAAAGCGAGGACCATCATACAGAATCCTGCTACACTCTAAATCCAGGGGGAAGGTTTACACAGCCACTACATACTAGGACCCAGGAATGCTCAGGGTCCATTATCAATGTCTGCCCATGATAGCACAGCCATGCCCTCTGGCAGTGGTATCCTAAAATAGGATTGTGCGTGCTGAAGCCCCCCAATTGCAAGATCTGGCTTTGCTGTACATACCTTCGCATAGCTGCGGTGTTTGGGGCCACCTCTAGCTGGTACACCACCGCCGCCGCGACCAGCGCTGAGTTGGTAATGACACCCGCGCAAGCCTATAATCAAATTATCGCTGGACTACCGCAACTGCCGAATTTGGCATCTGGCATTTTGCAAATGGCAGTGATATATCTCTGCACAGACATGAGTACAGAGCTCCATGCTAACCAGTGGCGGTTCCCCTACCGCTCCGGACGGACCCCAGAGACGTTTGGCGGCCACTCAACATGAACCATCCGATACAGCACCCGTTCAGCAGCAGCGACAGATACACCAGAGCTCGGAACATCTTCTGCACGGCTATCGGCATCTCTCCAACTAGCTAGCCCGAGTCCTTTCAGCCCCAAACATTCGTCGTCGCAACTGCACTACGCCTGCGGTACGCACGATGCTGAGCATGCGCATACATCATAGCGCCGAAACAAACAACAAACGCATGCGCTAAACAATACACACAGAACCGCTATTTTGAGTCAAGTTCTAACTTTTCTATTTCAGCTAGTATTGAGTCCTCAGTCTTGATTTTCTCCAGCTGTATAGACAGACAGTAGTGTTGGTGGTGTAATACACGCAATATCTGGTATGTACACCATACCTGGTTTAGCTCCAGCGTTCCTCCGTCTGCCTGCTGCTGTTTCAACTGCTCTATCTGCCTCAGTTTCTGCAGGATAGAATGAACATTTCCCACATCTGATTGCAAAATAGATCGGAAATTGAACCAACTTTTTTGAGGTTTCGAATTTTCTTCTCCGCAATATCTCCACCTCCTCCACCAGACACACCCTCGCTTCCAGCCCCGCCCATCAGGTGGGTTGCCATAGAAACAGCATCTCTCTGCTCCTGACTCTGCCCACTCACTACCTGCTGTGGCTGCTGTTGTTGTTTTTTACGTCTGTTCTTTTGAGCTGACTTTGTCACTACCAGCATTACACACACGTTATAGTGCAGAGCCCTAAATATGGTCAAACTTACAATTTGTCTCATCTCCAGTGGGGGTCCCCTGTAATATCACAATAGTATAAGATGAACACCACCAATTGGTTGTAGTGTAAACTCACAGATGGTTTTGGTCTGCCGCGCAATGCTGGCGGCACGTAGGCTGCCTTCTGCCCTGCACAAACCACCACCACCACCACACTACTCACTCTAATACACACTGACAGAGACTACAATACCTGGGTTGGCACTGGCAGTTTGAATGGAGGGGGGAGGAGGGAGGGTGACGTCAGGAACAGGAAATGAAGACACTGGTATCGGACGCCAGCTCACCTGGAACACAGACACACATCACTATATAGCCGAGCGAGAATAGTTTCATGGACAATATGTGAATACCACAGGACCTAATATAATTATACCTCCAATAGTTCCTGTTTGGGAGGTGTGTCTTCATGAAAGAGAAGACTACCTCTGAAATGCCACAACTTGAACCTGGAGCAGAGGGAGAGTGAAGACAACAGAGAACTGAGTCGTGTGTCTCACCCATTTCCTTCTCGTAGTCGAGGGGCAGTGGTTGCCGTGACAACATGAACCCCATCGGGACACCACTGAAAGTGGGTGGAGTCACTCGCCTGGCATGAAAGGAAATATTGTTACGCAATAATGACACGAGAATCGAGTCAATCGTCAAATACTTGTGGCTTGCTGAGGAGTTTGAGTGTCTTTCTATCCCAGAATTCCTGAGGTGGGGAACAATGCAACTGTACAGAGCTCCTCTATAATATTATATCTCTGTTACCATGTTTCCTCGGAGATTTCCAAACCCCGCGAGACAGAGAAGTGAGAGAGAGTCAGGGAAAGAGAACTCTGCAAACACAAAGCACTGTATAGTGCAAAACCTCTATCACAGCAGTATAGAATAAGAATGGTTAACCTTCGATCACCACAATTTGCTGCTACCCAGTATTGTGAGTGCATACATGACGTAGTAAGGATATTGTTTCCATGGGGATTGAACTGTGCCAGGTTACGGTGGGCTGTGCCAAAGTCATGGATTGGATCGCTGTTATTGTTGAAGAGAGTGGCTTTGGACGGCATGACTGGTTACATAATCCACCGCGTCAAGGACTTTAACAAGAAGAAAGGTGTTTGAAAAAGTAAAAGCCAGGGTAAATGTGAGAGAGGGACAAGGAACGGATACAGCCATAGAGAACACAGAACTCCTCAGAATTGGGGTGCCACTGTACGTCGTAGATGGGCCCCTTCTTGTCCAGAATGACCAGGTTTCCGTCGCCGCGAGCTGACAGGTAGAGAAGACCTTGCTCACCGTAGTAGGAGGATCCTGTCTTGTCCACATCTGTTGATGTCACTACCAACACTGCTGAGCCTGGGAGAGAGAGTGTGAGACAACGTGTGGTGCGATGATATACTGTGTTGTCTATGGACTCCATCATGCCATAGAATTCACGAGGCTTTTGCCTCAAGCATCACAGTTGGGCGAGACAGATAGGAAGATATTTGAAAACCTTTCTTATTCCAGGAGAACTTGACGTCGTCTGCCCGGTAGAAGCTGCGACTGGCAATAACTGACCCCGCCCCCTCTAGTCTGGGGTACTGATACATCCTCACAAATGAGGGAGCACCCTGTGGTAATGAACTAATCAGAGAGGTATTCGCCTGATGTCTGCCACATACCTTGCTGCCTGGGACGTAGACTGCTATCTTGTAAGGAGAGGAGGGGGACAGGGAGTAGCTAGCAAGACCTTCCACCACCAGCTTGTTGGAGAGAGCTGCACCTGAGATAGAGAGATAGGACAGCAGTCACTGTTGGTAGAGCCAGTATCCTATATACCTGGTGTCCCAGCCTCAAAGCAGTGTACTTCATTGGTAACACTCCTAGTACACAGAGCTTCGTCCTCTGACCATTGAGGACACCTGTACACCAGCATTTAGCAAAGATAATACCTGATTGGGAGACTTTCCTTTCCAAGTTGAAAGGTTTTGCAGGTAAAATGGTCAGGTCACTACATACCATCCCTTCTGCCTCTTTTGGATGAGTTCTGCAGTCTTCTGGCCCGATGCAGTGTCCCACACCTCCAGATTAGGGCGTCCTGCCTGGTCCTTCTGGGCTGACAGAGGAACATACACACAACACCTCCTTTCTCCCTCTCTCTCTCTCTCTTCATCTGTCAGTAGTACCAGTGTAAGGTTCCCACAGAGCAATGTATGTGGCCAGTGGCGAGAACTGCAGGCAACGAGTCTTTGGTCTAGGAATGGAACATCTTACAGTCCCACTGGCAACGTCCAATACCTGGACACTAGTCAGGAGTGTGGCGGTGTAAAGAGGAGAGAAGAGAGATGAGAGACGGACTATTTACAATAGACTCACCTGGATCCATCACACCACGCCACTAGGGACCCAGTGGGACTAAATACCAATACCCGACAGCTCTGCGAAGTGCTACAAACAATCAGAATGCATCACACGTCTCCACCCAGTCTCCTCACGTACCTCAGTTCTCTCAATTCACCTTTGACCCCTCCCTCGAAGGAAACAAGGCTGATTCCATGACTCCCTCTCACTGTGGCGGCAGATGACGTATTCAGCGATCTGTCATCCTCGACTTACCAGCTAATTGAGGGACGAGAGGCCGTCTAACGTCCTCTGCTGATGATGAACCAGTGCCCAAACTTTCACTCATGGTTTATACGTTGCGCTCAACACACACGAGGGGCGTTTACACGAGGGGTAGATAATGCGCATGCGCAACACTGCATATTACACTCACACACAAACAATCAAAACCTGAAAACCATGAGGAGAATGTGGTTACAGTATATTTTTTTCAAACATGATTCTGTCAAATCCATCAGGAGGAGGGAATGAAAAGTCTGAGAACTGAACATCCAGTATTGCCCCATCATCAACTGCACAGACAGAGAGAGAGAGAGAGAGAGTGTGTGTGTATTTGAAAGGATCAAGATATGCAACAGACCATAGAACACTGGGAAGACCATTCCTCTGATGCCCATCACTGGACACTGCATCGACTTGCCATTCAGGAAGAAATTCAGTTCCACGTGATCATAGCTCACACCCTGACAGGCGACAACACAACCTTCAATGCCCATGTTGATTATATAGACTATTGGAGAATGCTCACTCACCACAGCGTCTCCTTCGCTGAGTTTCTCCTTGAGTCTGGTGATGGCCTCGGCGTTGTGGACAGTGGATCCCTCGCTGGTGAGCACCCAGGAATGAGTGTCTCCACCCAGTGGAACTTGGTCCACTCTCACCAGAGGAGTTGCCACGCCCACTCCCCACACTCCTGGAATTACGTCAGTCAACACATAGTGTCAGGTTCCACTCTAGAATGGACTGGAGACGTACCTCCACACTGAACCTTGACCTCGAAGTAACTCTTGTCCTGGACCAGTGGGGCGTTGGCCAGAGCTGCTCCAGTGCCACATATACGGCGACCAGACTTTACTATCACACAGTCCACCCCTGGGATCACGTGATCTCACATACACTACTCTAGTACACACTGTACGTACCCATTCTGTTGGTGTCCAGAACAACCTGTTGTTGGACGTCTTTTAGGCGCACGGGCCCCGGGTCGGGGGTGCCCCAGATACACTCACAGAAACACCGCATACAAGTCATGCCTCCTAGACTTAGATCACACATGAGGATCCACTGGCGAGGCTGGTAGAGGGCCTTCTAATCTCTTCGTCGTTACTTGGCACACTGCGCAATGTTTGGTGCTTCTGCTTCAAAATTTCTCGAGACAACGCATAATTAGATAGATACACATACTCGAATCTTCTGCGCATGTGCGATAGAATAAGACAGTGGTGAGGTGATCATAAAAATGATAACAAGCAGCTTTGAATTATACCAATGACAGGTGTTATTCACAGATTGAAGGATGAAAAATAATGATACCGTGTACTATCTGTACATGTGTGACAGTTTTCAAGTTTGTTTAGCAGCAGTCGTCATATCTATACCTTCGTCGCAGCTCTCGGCGAGACTCGAATCACTTTCCATGACACTCTCCTCTCGGTCGATGGAGGCGTCACTGTTTCTCCTCTTCTTCCCCAGCTCCACCCTCCCTCCCTCCCTCACACCCACAACCACCACTGAATGCTCGTCGAAACTCGTACGGACAGACAGTTTCGAGAGCGGCGGATGAACCGAGAGACGGTTCAAGGAAGATTTGGTCGGAGTCTCGGTCTCTGGTTTTGTCTGCAGTCTCGGGAGAGACGGAGGGACTCCAAGACTTGCCCGCAGTCGAGACAGCTGTCTGTGCGTCGTTGAGTGAGGGTGTGTGTGGGCGTGTCCGTACGGCCCCAAGGGGTCAGAGTTAAACGGGGAGAGGTATTTGTCGTGAAGAAGGAGGAGAGACGATGACGGAGGTCGCAGGGGTCGCGAGGAAGAGGGCGTGGCTCCGCTGACGAGGGAGTTGGCAAGGCGAGGTATGGGTGACTGAAGAGAGGCGGAAGGAAGGAACGGGCGATATCGGAACTGGAGACCTTTTGGCGAGAGTGGGGAAGGAGCATCGGGGTTTTGATCAGGAAGACCCGTAGTCTCAATATGAAGATTGTTCTTCATTTCCGTTGCCCCGGAGAAGAGGGCGTGTCGGCGAACCTCGTCAGCATTTCTGCCATTCTCTCTCCCCCCTCCGCTACTGACAAGGAGTGGACTCTGACCTCCGCTACTGGAGCCACTCCCACTGCTGGTCCAGTGCTCCGAGTGTCCGCTGTCGTAGTTGGCAGCGAAAGGGTTTGCGGAGAGGGAGGCAGGTGGGTGGAGACTGGAGGGAGACGAGAGGGGAGTTGACTCTGATTGACTGGAAGACTTGCGAGATGAATGGTGAAGTGGAGAATTACCTGCCACACAACACACAGAATATACTATGATCTGCCACACAACACACAGAATATACTATGATGACTATGCAGCATTGTATGTCATACCAGTGTTAGGAGTGAGTGTAGGGGACACAGTGGGAGAGTGGGCCCGGTGAGCTGCAGTTGGCTGGAACCTCTTGGCCGGACAGTGAGTGGGAGATGTGTCCATTTCAACGTCAAGATCTAGAGACAGTGTGTAGATAGAGAAATGACAGAGAGAGAGAGGGTGGAGGGTAGCGTACAGGTGTCTTCTCTCTTTCTCTTCTGCCCTGTCCACAGCTGACTTGGTCTCAGAACTGGACTGCAGCTCCTACGACTGTGGGGAACAATGTTTCCTTGAAACACTGAGCAAGGTACTGTACAATTAGCTACACAATCACAAAATCAAATTTCAAGTCTAAGTTTTTGCCAGTAATACAGAAGTGTAGCCAACCAGTATGTTCTGTTGGGTAGAGGACTAGTTGGAGTGAGGCTGCGACTGCGAGCGGAGTTCCCCAGCTACACGGACGATGAACGAGAGTGGGTGAGTGCAGGGAAGAGAGAGAGGTATATACCTTGGCCAGGGGAGAGGAGGGAGAGAGGAAAGATGGTTGGTGAGAGGGAGAGGATCTAGCAGGCCACAGGTCCATCTGGTCCACCGGATCCTGCACCACATGTGAAAGTAGCTAATTGCTCCGTCATAATGAGGGGGTGGGGGGTACTTTCTTACCACTGTGAGTTCTTCGTAGGACTGGTTCAGGTTGTTGATGTCCATCACCTCTCTACACAAGACACACACACACACACACACAAATGAAACCTCATACCACTCCAACACCAAAGACCTAGGAACACAGGCTGGTGTCCAAGGAAGAAGACTGGTAGTATAATTATACGCTGTACAATGTACAAATACATCAAAGACTGTTATATGCACATTATGGATTTGAGCCAATCACAGAGACAAATTTGCACCATGTACTGTATGCATACAGTACAGTGATATTGGGTAGTGTGGGTGCATCCACTAACTTTTCTGACTGTCTCTCATCAATACATTCCTCCTATGGAGACAGACATAATAACTCTGTGAACTGAGGACTAGGGGGGGGAGGTGCTCCCATACCTTCTTCAGTTGCTCCACTCGATGTGGTCTCGAGGTTGGAGAGTTGAGTCTGCTCATAGGGATTGGAGAAAATGGCGGCTGAGAAGAGAGAGAGAGTGTGTGTGCGTGTGAGTGAGTGAGGGGGGAACTTTGACAGAAGAAATTCCCAGAACCAGGGCCACTAGAATGACTAAGTAACAGCTGTCTTTGCTGCAGTATATAGTGCTCTAGGTGCCCATAGATACTGGACACAGCGACATTGAAAGTGTTTAGAGGATCAGTGCCACAGCCACCCCAACACATTGCCAGCCTTTACTTCAATATTTGATCACATCAGAGCAAATTGATATATTGGTAGTTAGATAATGAGAGGTTTCAGGAATGGGGTTTACACTATTGTTCAGGTTCTGCCTATGAGGCCAGCCTTCGTCAGATGTAATTACAACTGACAAATAAGGGCAACGGAATGCCAAGGGTCCCGGCCCGGCAAGCGAGAACTGAGGAAACTCATGAAAAGCCATTTCCTAAAGTCTGGGAAGTTCTGGGTCGATACCCCCCAGCCAACGTGTCCAGTTAGACCAGACACTGTGTAGTGACGGCACTACTGTATGTTGCTCTATCAGCTGTGTGTGTTTCCAGGAAGGTCACATCACTTGCTGTGACAAAGCCTGGTTTGCAGGGCAAGTCCCATTGACTGATCCATTGCTCCACTAGCTACATATGTAAACATACATGTCATAGTTACGGCACTGCTTCCTCAGAGCACTGCTTACTAACCTACCACATCCCCTGAGTGTGGTATGTATATACCAACTGTTCTTTAGGCCCTCAGCAAAGGATTTGCTAGTGTGTCTGCCATGCTCATGTGCCGATTGGCCTAGCAACCTGCTCCACTCTATGTTATTGGTGGACTATGCATAGAGAGAAAAACACCAAAGCTACACATGTACAGTTCTAGATAATGCAAATGAGAGAGCACAATGGAGAGGTGTGGGCAGAAGTGGATGAAAAGGAGGAGCCAGTGAGGCTGGGGAGGAAGAAGAATGTGAAGAGAAACCTGCAGCTATTCATAAGGGGATGGAGTGTCCCACCGTGTGATAATTTACCTCAAAAGTGACCAAAACCATGCACCACCTTCCCAGGCCCTTGGCACACGCACACACACCACCAGCTACAGCCTGGAACCCCACTCTGTGAAAACGTCCATTAGGCAATTATGTTTCTATTTACCTCTTACCAAGACTAAATACACACACCATGCAACACATACTGCTTTACGGTTAAGTACACTGCACATGATGACAGTACATTTCAACAGGGCAAAGACATTGGATCGTATAATTGGGTGGCTGGCAGGACAAGGGTGTCTTGTACATAGGAACTGGCTGCTGCGAACTAGAGAACATGACATGGAACAGTGTCGGGACGACAAACTGGGTCACTAGCTGTTCACTCCAGCCATCATCTCTGTTTTCAACACACTCAATATGCCTTGTGAAAGAGTAGATGACATTGCAATATACAGACTTGGCAATGTTTTTGTGGTTCAGAGGAGAGGGATATAGGACAGGACACTTCACATACACACACAGTGGTTTGTATGCCTACAGAGACTGTGTAAACATGCAACAAATCAACCCAGACCAGCCAAACACAGCAGAGTCAGTCCCCCACTCTGCAACCTCATTTCCTTGCTGAGAGAGCGAGAAAAACCCCGGAATAGAAGGGAAATACACCAATCCTCTCAGGACAACTTGCCAGCCTGACCCAGTTCACACACACACACTCACAGCTCTCCAGGCAGTGGAAGTGTCCATGGTACAAGAGGAGAGTGGAGAAGGTCTGGCAAGATCACCAGGCAAGGAAATCTGACTGCTCGAAATGCCTCGCCGAGATTTGAGGCTCGCCGCGCCTGGAGAAAAGCCCACGGTGGTAGAAGAGGAGGAGGATGAGGAGGAAGGGCCGAGGGTCATCTCGGGGACCGAGCTAGAGCGCTTCATGTTGCCTCGGGTGACGTTTTTGTGCGTCGTTATCCCGTCACGGCGTCCACGGTGTGGGTCTCGGTTTTCTCCTGCGGAAAAGGTTGCGCATGTAGATTCACACATACTACACTCGCTCCTACATTTGCATACGGGGACGGTAAACCGATCAGCTGTGGCGGAAGCATGCAGAAGGCAACAATGACACCGCGAGTCTTGCAGCGTCAGTGCAGTTTGTGAACTTACCAAACTGTAGACTAGTAACTAGCGCCGTCTCCAACAGCCGACAAACCGAACAGGTACTGATCTTCGGCTGATTTTACCAGGCCTAGTAGATTTGCACAACCCCACACCTGAAAAATGAAAACAAAGTGGGCGTGTGCTGGATTTACCCCGCCCATTTCATCCGGTCTACTTTTTTCGTCAGCCGACTATCACGTGAATTCACGTGATCTAGGGGGCGGGGCTAGACGCGTACGTTACGTTATACGCGGAGGACGCACTGCAAAACGCCCAGTTAGTTTGCGGAGCCGTTCTGTGGCCTCTGCTTTGCTAGAGGTAAGCACAAGGTTTATCACTGACTTTTTGCACGATATAGCTAACCGTGTGCAATCGCCATAAGCCGCCGCGCTCCCCTGGCTGCATGAGACTTAGCGGCATAGTGGCGACTTAGCATTTTGAATGGCATTGACAGCGAATGTTCTAGTACAGAGTAATCACATTAGAGCTCAGTTTTCAGTGTCTAGCATTGATACTGTTGACGACACGTCCAGACATCTAAATAAGGAAGATAAACTGTTATTCCCCTACAGTCAGTGATGGATGCAGAGGGTGTGGCAGGAGGCTACGAGCCCCTGTCTCGCTGGGGCCATGTGTCTGTCTCTCTGCAAGGCAAGGTGTACATGTGGGGAGGACGGACCAAGGATTTCTCAGAGTCTCAACAGAGAAAGGTGTGTTTTGACTCAGATTGTGATGAGGACTCACTAATGAAGGCAGGGCATACCTACCAACCATCCAGCTTTTTTTTGCTTGATAATTCTCAAGCAAAGGCTTATCTGCAGGTTGGTAGGTATGGGAGGGGGTGGTGAAAGCGAGTGAGCTGTTAATAGCATAGTAACCAAATATTTGGGTAATGGGATTCAGTAGTTGTGTATGTACTCGTACATTGATACCGTGGGCACAAGCAGCTATGGCTATCACAGAGAAATGTGGGTAAATACCTCGTGCTATGATTAAAATTGAGGCAGCCCCCAAGTGTATACAGCATTTTGCTTCCTACAGAGCAGTTCAATTGGGCTTGAGGGTTTATGAATTTCATTTGGCCCACCATGAAGTTATGTTTGGGAGTCATCCTGTTGGTGGGAAGTGTTTTTCCTGTTTATTTCAGCTAGTGTTTCAATGAGGTAGTTGGCACACTCATCTGCATGGTGATTATAGTGTTTGGCTGGTGATATGTGAGCTAGTGTTGGTATGTCATAGTTGGCACTGTCCTCCAGCCACAACCCTTCTCTTTCTAATACATCTACTCCCCCTAATCATGGCATAAATTGACATAGTGTGAATAACTTTCATTTTCACAATCAAGTGTCCATAGTAAATATGTTCTGCTCCACACTGTATCTCCCATTCAAAATCTAGCAAAAGCTCCCTCTTATTACTGCTCCCCCCTGTCTGTCTGTCTGTCTGTCTATCTGTCTCTGTCACAGCTGGCCTCTTCAGTGGAGGTGTTTGACTGCCGCACAGAGACCTGGGTCACCAAGACAACCAGAGGAACTCCTCCCAAAGGACTCTACAATTCAGCCTACACTCTTCAAGGTTCATTTCCAGCATTGACTCTATCCACCTCCATGTTAGCACGCGTTGTTAGCCATACATTCGTATTGTATTCGTTAACTGATACCATATCACCACTCCAGGCAACACTGTGTATGTGTATGGAGGTTGGGATGGACAAAAGGCACACAATTCTCTCTTCCAACTCAACCTCTCCACCTTTGAATGGGCAGAGGTTAAAGCTGAGAACCCTGGCAGAGCTCCTACTGAAATTAGTGGGTGTGGCCTCGTTGCCTGTGGGAACCGGAAACTGGCGTTGTTTGGTGGGTACGGAGCGATAAAGGAGAAGAAGGAGAAGAAGAAGGCAAAGGCAAAAGTGGACGAGAGATACTCTCTAGTCACGGTGGAAGATGAGGTGGCGAAGCCAGCTGAACAGGATGAGTCTGAACCAGTAGAAAATGGAGGAGAAGAGCTGAAAGCCACGGATGATGAAATGCAACAAAAAGTTGAAGACAACGGAACAAACAATATGACAGAACAAAACGCTAAAGACAGCACAAAAGAAGAAAAAGTTGAAAGCAGCACAAAAGAAGACAGCAAAACTGAACAAAAACTAAGAGATCCCGGCAAAGAAGAAAAGGATAACGTCAACGAAGCGGAGGAAAAGAGCAGAGAAAACGGTGACGACGACAATACCAAAGAAAAGAGTTCTTTGAATGGAGGAGATGTCACAGAGAATGGACTGGTTGAGTCGGTGATGGCAGAAATTGAAGAGAGGGAGCGGGCAGAGAGCATAGGAGGGATGGAAGGAGGTAAAGATGAAGAAACGAAGAACAAAGAGGGTGAAGAAGTGGATGCAGGCAGTGAGGGAGGAGAAGATGGAAAGGAAGAGGGAGAGAGGGAGAAGGATCGCGGGAGTGAAGGGTGTGGTGAAGACAGTGGAACAGTGGTTCATGCGGAAGGGGAGGCAAAGACGACAAAAGATGCCAATGTCAAAATAATAGACGTTGTGAACGAACATGTGAGTGATAAGAGCCAGAAGGCCGTCGTCATAAAATTGCCAGCAGTCTCGTTCAGACTGCCTGACGAAGCAACCGGCACTGCGACTGGAGAGAGTGAGGGAGGAACGTCGGTGGACGAAACAGGGGAGAGAGTAGCTGCAGAGACCAGCACAGCAGTGTCCCAGCCAGCGGAACTGGAACAGCCGGCTAATGTGGAGCAAACGGGAGGAGGTGAGAAAGAGGAAGAGGAAGAAGAGAAGGAAGACATTGAAGAGTGCAATACAACCATCTCTGTCTACAAGAGGAGCCAAGAGGATGTGAAGGGGTGGACTAATGAAGTGAAGGTCTTTGACCTGGACACCAGTAAGTGTAACATAGAGTAAGTGGTGCACTCCAGGCAAATTCCCTCTGCCCCAGGAATGTGGAGTTCTCAGCCCACATCGGGCAGTCTCCCTCCTCCCAGTGTTGACTTCAGTTTCACCTCCCCCGACAAGAAGAAGGCGGTGGTGTTTGGAGGCTACCAGCCTCCCACTGGCATCACTTACGACACATTCCTCCTGGACATGGAGACTTGGGTCAGTCTTTAGTAACCTCAGCTCTCAGGTAAAACTGTGCTAAGTTTTCTTGGAATAGAGTTGTCCTGGGTGTTGTTTGGTTTGCCTTCAGACCTCATTTGGTGAAGCACAAGGGCTGGTTCTAATACTATAGATGGTGTACTACTATGGCTAGAGCCATGTGTGTGTTGCTGCCTGTGCAGGTCTGGACCAAACTGTCAGGAGAGTCTGAAACAGTGTCGTCTCCCTCTCAGCGAAACCCCTCCCTCCTCTCCCACCCCTCTGCCAGAGACGGCCACTCAGCCTGTGTAATTGAAGGAGCTCCCCGTCCCCTGATGCTCGTTACCGGAGGCTGGGACGCCACAGATCAGGCTACCAATGACATGTGGCTACTGGATATCAACTCTGGATTATGGAAACAGGTTAACTGACTATTGTAGGGTGGTCGGATGAGTAATCTCACGAGATTGAATTTCACTCCCAATATGTTAGGGGAAACCCCACCAATTTGTCTAAAACTATGCTCTAGTATGCATGGTGTATAAAACTATGCTCTAGTATGCATGGTGTATAACTGAACTATGCTCTAGTATGCATGGTGTATAAATGGACTGTGACTCTCCTCAGATAATGGGGGGCAAGGAGATGGGTTGTCGGTTCTGGCATACCACGTTGGTGTCCCAGTCCAGTTCCAGAATGAGACAGCTCCTGACATTCGGAGGCTGTCCTGGAGCTCCAGAGAGCCACACCACAGGCTCCTGGCCCAAGATGGCTGACACTGTCCTCATGGAGATGGGTAGGCAAGACACATGTACACTGCCATTAGGGGTATATACTGCTTTTGAGGAGTAAAGAATATGTGGGTAGTGGAGATTCAGCACGTGAGAGTGTTCAACAAGATAATATTTCTTCTTCAAAACATTCCCACTGCATTATTGAGGGGACAATTCTCCCAATGTTTGTGGTAGGGACCAATTGAACATGCATTATGTGCAAAGGTCTTTCCACAAAAGTGTGCAGTTCATTCACGAGAGATCTATCACTCAAATGTTTCCGAATACAGTTGGTATCCAATGTTGCATTCTGTTGGCAGGGAAGATCCCGAGTCTGCAGGGCCAGTTCTCTGGAGACGGTGAAGACAGATGGATCGTCGTGGACACCGTCACCAGAAAGGGTCTCGGAGACCCGGTGAGACGACTTCAAGAAACAGTCCTCCTCACAAGTTTCCGTGCCCAGCGGGCAGAGAGCCTCATGAAAACCATGATAAAGAAGATGTCGGCTCTGGGCGGGGCGACTCAGCAGAGGAAGGTCAGGGGGTCTGTAAGTGTCCCGACACCAGAGGAAGTGGTGGAGAAGAAGGAGGAAGAGGTCAAGCGGCCGTTCTGGCAGAAAGCGACGGATGAGATCCAGATGACGTACGAGGAGATCGGCCGAGGGAGGTTCTCTGTGGTGAAGGTCGCCATTTTCCACGAGACGAGGGTTGCCGCTCGCTGTCTCTACACACGGATCCAGTCAGAGAAAGATCGACTGGTCTTCACCGAGTGCCTGGAGCTGGCCGCTCAGCTGCGACACCCCAACCTTGTGTCCTTCATGGGAGCTGTCCTGGACCGTGAACCCGTCATCATCACTGAGCTGATGAGCTGCAACCTGCGCTCGGTGCTGGAGAAGAGTGCCCTCACCTACTACCAGGTCGTCGACGTGGCAGAGGGAGTCTCAAAGGCTCTTCAGTACCTGCACTCGGTGAAGCCTCACCCTGTGGTCCACGGAGAGCTGACCAGCACCGGTGTTCTACTGGAGGCCGACCGCGGCCCTCGCATGAAGGCTAAACTCTGCGACTACATGACGGCAAAGTATTTCCACCACCTCCTGACGTCTGCTGTGGCCCCAGCCACCAGCATGGAGGATGTGTTTGCCCACAGCAGAGAGCACCCTTCGCAGGAGTACAAGTCTCGTGTCGTCCGTCGCTCAAGCTCTCATTCGAGATCAGGTTCTCCACTGGACGCAGCCGACAGACCGATGAGAATCAGCCAGTTCAGAAAAACAAGCACAGTGTCTGGAATAAGTCCATTGGACGCCGGCACATTCTCCACACAACGCGACGTCTACCTGTTTGGGATTCTCGTGGTCGAGATGGCAACTCGCACGGCAGTCCTGGAGGTTTCTCTGCAGTATCTCATTGAGAGCATTGCATGGGGCCAGGTGGCTGGGCTGGTGAAGAAATGTCTGACTCACGACGTCGACGCACGGCCCGACATGACTGAAGTCGTTTCTCACGTCATGCAGCTAGCATCCTCCAAACCATGACACTCACCTCACCAAAACACTGCTTTTGTTTAGTGCTTCAAAAAAAAGAGATTTTTTCCTTATGACAATATAAAAATACCTGCAACCTTGGCATCTGAAAATTATAGTAAACTAATCCGGACACTTAGTGAATCAAAATCCGCTGCTGATCATGCGCATTAACTTCGGTACGGGCCGATTCCCATGTGATGGAACGGGGATTGAAGCTGAATGAGGTCATTCCTTTTTGCGCATGCGCCCAAAAAGAGGGCAGAGCTGAGGCTGAGTCTTTGCGGGTGTGAAGTTAGAAAACAGGTGTTCAGTTGTGTGTATATAGTGGTCTTGTGAAAGACAATCATCCACTGTTAGGCCCCAGCCCTTGCTTTCTCATGTATAGTATGTTTCAACCCATAACATGTAGAAGCCAGTACAAGGCAACGTGACGCTGCAGAGAGACATCTGTGCCTTTACTTTTCCATTGTAGTGGCACTATAATTACGTCTCTGTGGGTAGCCACCTCGGCTGCTTGACTGAGCTGGAGCCTGTGTCAGTGTGTGCCTTGCCTGTCAGTTTACCTAGCCAGCTAATTGAGTTGCTCAGGGCGGGCACACTTTCTTAGCCCGCCTCTAGTTTGGATAACAGCAGGGTGAAGGGTGCCCTTTTCAGCTTCCCCCTGTAGCCTGGTGTTTATAGAGACAATTTCTCAATGTGTTCCAGCTCCTAGATAATTCCTACAACAAGTCACCGATCTGACTCACATCTGTTTCTCCTTCTACATGAACCATCCAAAAATACATTCATAACTTTTTTATTTAACATCTAATTGTAAAAACGCTAACACCATTAGAATGCCCGCAACATTCCTGTTCTGGTGGTATTCATTACGAACTATGAAACCTTATCAGTCAAAAGTTAGCTGTATGTCCCATAAGAAAAGGTATGGGGCCGCGGATGGGCACTGCAAATACCGTAATGTTCTACGTGATTCTAAATACGAGCAAAACACGCGCAAAATATTGAATCCTCGAACTCGCTCGCAAAAATAGTTTGTTGGAGGTAAAAAATTCGGCGAGCCAGCAGCAAAAAACGGCCGAGCCCTTCCCCAATTATTGCACATGCGCACGAGGGTAACAGTTGTGCGCGTGCGCAGTAAGTGCCTATTTATACGCCGTGCTGCCGTTTTAGCTCACTTTTCGATGTGGCTGCTCGGCAGTGGGTAAGTTCTTTTCCTCCTGTTGTGTGCTACTTTGCAGTCTCTCTTCTATGCACACGTAATTTTTCGCTTTCTCACCTGCAGCCGATGACGACGACAGCTTTCCGCAGCTACATACAGATTTGTAACCATGTCCACCTTCAGTGAGGAAGACGTGCTGGTGTCGTCGGTACAGAAGAAGATGAAAGTCGGTCTGCTCCACCCCCAGCAGAACATTGACATCCCAGAGATCTCGCTCACTATCCATTCCACTATCTCCGCCACCGTCAAGAAGGCCGCAGAGGCTGGGAAGAAGCCGACCGTGGAAGAGTTGGGCCCCCTCGTTTCAGACTCATCATTCCTGAATGGCCTCCAGGAGGACGTCAGTCGGTGGATGGAAGAGATATGGAAGGTGTGTAGCTGTGGTTGTGTGTTTGATTGATGCTGCAATGCTCCGTGTAGCTTGAACCGGGCTACTGAACAGAGTGCATAATGTTGCCATAATTATGTTTTTGTCTGCTCTTTAACGGTGACTTAATTATATGCAGCCCCTCTGTCAATTTTCTGCCATAGAGCTCTTCAGGCACTTCCTTACAGTGTACTACATGCACAATTACCCCCCACCAGGTGACTCGACTGAAGAGAGATGCATCGAGTGGCACAGCGCTGCAGGAGATCAGTTTCTGGATGAACCTGGAGCACACACTAAGCAAGATCCACTCTCTCCGACACAGCCCCGAGGTCCAGCTCATTTTCGACGTGCTCAAAGCCAGGAAGAGGTTCCCTGCAATTGTCAGCTTTGAAGCTGACACAGGTTAGTGTCGGGCTGAGCTTCTGAGGCAGGATAAGTTTGGCCTACAATGGCAAACACTGTCTATTTTTTAAAGAACCCAATCCTAATGTATGTGGAATGTGGCGGAAATTTCGTACATGTGCAGGAATTCCCTAACCTTGTTTGTTATTCATTGTACTGGCTTCAATTTCTCTTTGTTTGACCATCTATAAGGGTTTTAACCTATTATTTTAGTATGTATGTACTTATCTCCCTGAAAGGTCTGAGAGAGGCGCAAGACAAGGTGAACGATTACAGTCCACTAATGAAGGTTTTCCCGGTCAACGAGCTGCTGGCAGCGGAGACACTGGAGGCCATCAAACTAGCCGTGGCAGCCGTGTACACCCACCTCCGTAAGATCAGGACCACCTCTTACCCTTCCCAGAGAGCCATCTACCTGGTGGAGGCCATTGCCAGAGACCTCACTACACAGCTTGTAAAGGTGTGTACTTCTGAACTTCCCCAAAGTGCATGAAAGAGTACACTTTTCTCTCTGCAGGTCTTGGGAACGTACAAGCTGATGCTGGTGACATATGAAGAGTTTGAGCAGGTACACATGTATATACTGTGTTGGCCGACGTAATAGCTTGTTATTCTCCTATTGAACTTGTAGTGTAAGATTCAGGTAGTGCCACAGCAATTTCAATGGTCCATGCAACAGACAAAGAACCCATGGCACCCGACACATGAAGAACTAGTAGGACAGACACAAACGAGCACCATTGAACCGTGATATTTGTGCATGCTCAGTGTCATGGCACAGAGTTGGTCAGCTAGTGGTCAGTTATAGCTAGACGACTAGGTGTAGGTTTGCTTGACTCTAGAGAGCTCCAACCATTGCTTGCAGTGTGTAATGCATGGACCTACAATAGCTCCTCATCCTTATTCCCTAATCCCCCCTGGTGTGTGTGTGTGACTGCAGGTGATGGAGCACTGTAATGGGGTATTCAACACATGGGGCAAAGAGTACGACAAATTCACCCACCAGCTGCGGGAAAGAAGGAGAGGGTACATCAGGTTCCTCTGGAGGGATGACACTGGCATCCAGAGGATCCAGAAAAGAACCTACACAATTAGAGAGTGGGTCTTACACAGTGAATCTTGTATTGTGATGTGAGGGCTAAATTTAGAAATGTTACTAAAGATCGAACTAAAAATTGGCTCAGTGAAAGAAGAATGCAATTATTTTCCGTGATTAGCAACTACTTACAATACTCTGGCACATTCAGTGATGACACCGAGTTTACTGCATTATTCCCATGCATTTGAGTATTGCATTTTCACTTCATTATTGTTTGTGTTTTGGCAGTTTCCGATTCCAGCACTGGAAATTAGAAAGAGTGTTGAGGTCTCAGCAGCAGAAAGACCAGCCAGCTCAAGTATGTCTGTGTGCCCAGTTGTAAATATGATTCAATACAATGCTGTGTTCCGTCTTCCCCTCATCAGAGTGGGGAAGGTGCCCTGGAGTCAGCCGTGAGGGAAGTCAAGTTGGCATACGAAAACGTCAAAGTCGTGGACTGCCTCGACCTGTCTCCGGAGGGGAGTGCCGCGTGGGAGGCAGCTCTGAAAAGATACGATGAGAGAATCGACAGAGTAGAGACCAGGATCGCTGCACGGCTGCGAGACCAGCTCGGGACGGCCAAGACCACCAACGAAATGTTCCGGATCTTCTCGTGGTACAATGCCCTCTTTGTGAGGACTCGCATCCGCGGGGCCATCCGAGAGTACCAGGCACAACTTACCCAACGACTGAAAGACGATATTGAGAAGCTCCACCAGAAGTTCAAGGTACAATATTGTCATGGTGTTTGGAGACACACTACTATATAGTGTGTGTGAATGTGAATCTTCCTTGGTGGGCTATATTTGGAATTTATCCTGCCATGCATAATGACGTAATGTGTGGTTGCATTATACAACGCAGATGCAGTACAACAAGACGATGACCTACCAGATGTGTGTCCAGCGCGACTACCCTCCAGTCTCCAGTGCAATCATATGGGCCAGACAGGTATATACTAATGCATCCAGTGTGCCGTCATCTCTCTCGGTAGATGTATAGTGTTCATGGGTGTTTTTTTTATTGGCACGAGTATGCATGATTTTCTCTGTGCTAGGTAAACACTGAAGGTTTTGAATGCACGAAATGAGCCTTCTGACTTTGTCACTCTCACTTGCCACAGCTGTGTATCCCACACGATATTGGAGTTTGTGTGAGTGTTTTTCTCCTCTTCCCAGATTGATTGTCAGTTGGAGACGTACCTCCAGAGGGTGGAGGCGGTGCTGGGGAGAGATTGGGAGAACTACGTGGAGGGCCAGAAGCTGAAAGAAGTGTGCCACTCCTTCAGAAAGAAGCTGAACACGCAGCAGCTGTTTGACGACTGGAAGAAGAAGGTCGAGGCGAGGCAGCTGGTCGTGCAAGGACACATCTTCAACATTGGCAGTCAGTGCACGAGGACCGGGACCATTCTTAAACTACAAGTCAACTTCCCCCCCGAGACTATCACCCTTGCAAAGGAGGTCTGTTTCTTCCCCTTCTAGAGCAATAACCGTTGAAAAAGTGTATCTGAGTCACGGAAAATTCTTTGTCTTCGGTATATACCTCATCTCTCTTCTCCTCTTTCTCTTTCTCTCTTCTCTTCCCCCCCCTTCTCTGCTACACTCCGTTATCTTGTCGCTCTGCGGCACACCTCTCTCTCTCTCTCTCTCTCGTTTTAGGTTCGAAATTTCAAGTGGCTCAATTTCAAGTGGGATAATTTCAGAGTTCCGGTCTCCATTGTAAACCAAGCCAACCAGGTCAACCAGCTCTATCCTCATGCAGTCTCTCTCATGGAGTCCATCAGGACGTATGAACTCATGTGCACCAAGGTTTGCCTCTGAACTGTGTCTCACCTTGTATATATAATATATAGTAGTAAAACAGCTGTTGAAGGGAGAATATTTTTGCAAATTTTGTGTGGCCATCCATAAAAGTTCTCAGTGAAATGTGCAGATTTTATACAGTAGGAAAAATAAGCCAGGTCGTGTATGTGCAGACTAGCTGGCTGTACATGGACTGTTGTGAGCTGGCTTTCTTTGTCCCCAGATCTCTGACAAGAAGGAGACATCTGCTCTTGTGGCCCACCTCAAAATTGACATTCAGGAGCTTGTCCGAGAGGTGTGTGTGCAGTAACATACACTCAGCACATACATAATACCTTCTGTGGTCGATTGAGTTATTGGGTCTGATACTGGCTAAGGAACAGTCAAAGATGGTCTGTCTTTCCAGGGTTGCCAACTCCTGTGGGAGTCCTACAAACTCGAGGGATTTGTACAGAACTTCTCAGAGTGCATCTTCAGCTTCCAGAAGGGGGTGAGTCCCACACCTCGCTTATTCATTACTGATGATGTCGTCATTACATCGCCACCAGGTTGACGAGGTTCTCCTGTGCAGTCACCAGATAGATGAGTTGGTGGGCTCTCTGGAGACATGCGAGTACAGACAGCCCAAGTTCAGGGAGGTTCTGGACAAGCTGCAGAAGGTGATTGACGACCTCAACCTGAGGTCTTACTCAAACCTGAGACAGTGGGTGGCTGAGCTGGACAGACAGGTTTGTCCGGGGTTGGTGACATGATTGTCGGGGGTGGGTCAGCTGGACAAACAGGTTTTTCAGGGTGGGTGAGCTGGGGATACAGGTTTTACCAGTTGTACTGTAGTTGTGAGTCAGTGCACGAGGAGGTTTAGATGTCTTGATGTCCGTCTGGAGAGAATGTGTAATGTGGATGTATAACCCAGTTAGAATCACATTCTGAAATTTTCTCCTCTTTCCTCACCTCTCTCCCTCCCACCCTGTCTCTCTACAGGTGGAGGCAAGGTTGATGCGGCGACTGGCCATAGCCATCAGGTCCTGGCAGGACTGTCTGAGAGGAGTCACTGGAGACTCTGCAGTGGACACCACCACCTCCACTCCACAGCTGCCACACAAACTGGGCGGGACACCTGCACTCCAGGCAAGACTTAATACGTCAACCTCCTCAATACTAATTGAAGGAAACACTTCAAGAATTCGGGAACGCACTAGTTTTTCGTAGGAAAAACTTTCATATCTATTCTTTGTATTGACGACTGCAGGCCATTCAACACGAGCTCCTCTTCACCAACCAGATCATGCACCTCCAGCCACCAGTCGAGATGGTTCGCTGCGACCTCATCGCACAGCTCCACAACTGGATCAGCATCGTCACTGCCCTGCCCAGGATACAGAGCTCCAGATACCAGGTCCATTGATTCACTCTTCTGCTGGGGGCCTTAGTCACATAAAGAGCATGCCTCCATACAGCTTTCCCCACACCTTTTGCTGTTCTCTTTCTAGCAAATCTCTCTCTCCTTTCCTGTTCCCCCACTCAGGTTGGTCTGGTGGAGCTGAGTCCCACAGAGGCCACCTACCACTCTCTGCTGGGGAAACTGATGGAACACGACTCGGAGCCGCTGGTGGGGGCATATGGTGCCATTGAAGAGCTTCTGAGCAGTGTCCAGTCGTACGTGAAGGTCAGTGTGCAGTGTTAGAATGTAGAGGTAGCAGTGTGCTAAGGTAGGTACCAACGTGATACCAGTGAATGTTATATGAAGTAGGTACCTGTGAGCAAGCTTGGAACATTGTGAGATTCAGTGACCCCCTGCTCCTATCTCCTCTCTCCTCCTCCCTCCTAACAGGTGTGGCTGCAGTATCAGAGTCTGTGGGACATGGTGCCAGCCAACATCTATAGCAGACTGGAGTCCAACCTCACCAAGTGGCAGAAACTTCTCATGGACATCAAGTTAGAGATTTGTGCAGTAGGAAAACCATATTCTTGTTTGTCTCTATATGCGGTGTACTGCGCTATATGCCGCTGTTTTCCTTTCTTCGGGAGACAATACTTATTATGCCTTCTGCTATGTGTTGCTAGTGCGACATGAGTTGTCCATATGAGGTCTTACAATACTTATTATGCCTTCTGCTATGTGTTGCTAGTGCGACATGAGTTGTCCATATGAGGTCTTATTCATCTTTTCTATCTGTGTTCTTCTTTCTCTCTCTGTATAGCGTGAGCTGTTGGTGTTGGTTGCATGTTTGTGTTCTCTGATTTCCAGGAAGTCTCGGAAGACAGTGGACACCACAGAGACGATGAAGCAGTTTGGACCGGTGGAGATCCACTACGGTAAAGTCCAGCAGAAGGTGAACCTCAAGCATGACTCCTGGCATCGTGAGATCCTCAGCTCCTTTCTCGGAGACGATCTGCTGGACTTCCACTCCACCGTGGCCAAGGCAAGCCTCCTCATCCTATCTATGTCATGTTGTATGTGTATACTGTGGTGGGGCACAATACAATGGCAAAGGCCGAACTTGAGCCTGTACACAGAATGCATATATAGCTACATCTCTTTTTTATTGGGGCTTTGCCTCAAATCAAAAATGAGTGAAACAAGTGGAAAAATCATACCTGTTAATGAAAGGGGATAAATAAAGCCATTCATAACCCATGCCTCCACAGATCATCTACCCCCCTACCTCCACCCCACTACCTCTCTCCCTCACTCTGGAGAAGGAAGAGGAAGAAGCCCCGTAAGTTCACCCAGCATCACTCTAGAAGTACAGACTCACACCCTCCCTCCACAGATTACCCACCCCCCTCCTTCCCCCACCTCCACCACCCCCGGAAGAGGAAGAGGAAGTGCCGTAAGTTCACCCAGCATCACTCTAGAAGTGCAGACTCACACCCCTCCCTCCACAGAACCTCCACACCCATACCTCCCCCACCTCCCCTACCCCCTGTCCCACAGGTATAACAGTCCTTCCTTTTGTAACTAATTTCAATGTCCATAACCCACTATGTACACAAAGCAGAACGAGGAAGAGGAGGAAGTGCCGTAAGTTCACCCAGCATCACTCTAGAAGTACAGACTACCCATGCCTCCCGAAACCTCCAGCATACTCCCCCACCTCCCCTACCCCCGGTCCCACAGGTAAAATAGTTGTATTGTTGGTTTTATGTCCATGACCCTTTAGACTATGTGTTTTATGCTCCATCACCAATTAGGAAGCGAGAAGAGGAAGAAGAAGAAGAGGGGGAGGACTCAAGTGGTGGGCTCTCTTCAATTCCTCAAGTTGTATACACACTCTGTCATTGTTGCAGCATACGCAGTTCAAGCTATAAATAGATTATTAAAGATTATTCTAGAAGATACCAAGAACTCCCCAGAGGTAAGATAAAATGTGTATCTTGCGCATAATTACATACATACATGCTTCTACAGCTTGACTCCATTATTAAGAATGCAGGATTAAAAAAAACAGGAGAAAAAGTGATTGCGATTTCAGATAGTTATTTAAAAATCCCAAAAATTCATTCTGATGTAAAAGAATATTAAAATCCATCCTAGGCTTAGAAACGCTGATCTCATTTCTGTAAGAGTTTTAATGGAGAGGTATCCAAATGCCCATAGATTGATAAGAAAATGTATTCTGCCTCGTACGAAAGTGAATTTTTCAGTTAGTGTTTGTTTTTGGATGTTTTGGTAGTTTTTGTCCACTGTGTGCTCTTGGAGAGGATGAGCACGCCTGGCTGGAGAGGTAAACTGCACTTTAACCATCTACTAATGCTTAGGGATGCTTTGTGCCCACAGCTTCTCACTTCAACGTCCTCGACTCTTCCTTCTTGGAGAGGATGAGCACCCTCCTGGCCAATGGAGAGGTAAACTGCACTTTAACCATCTACTATGCTTAGGATGCTTGTGGCCCACAGCTCTCCTCACTTC